ATATTCCCTCCACTGATCTCTCTACTCTTATTTTTAAAATTGGCGTGTTACGTTGCTTGTACAGTGGGACTCTGGTATCGTCACAGGTGGGCTTGGCACACTGTGGTGGATTGTCTTCCCCAGGTCACCTCCTCCCTCCTCCTCAGCGGCTCAGTCCCCCCTTCCATTGCATGGGCTGTCATCAGGCTGGTGATCATGGTGTCGTAGTGAGTGGCCCGAGTGACACACCTTGCGGACACATGGGATGGTTTCAGTGAACAGCCACGTGGTGGCAGGGAGGTCAGCACAGGGAAGGAAGAAGAGGGGATGTGGGGCGGGCAGAATTTGCACCACACCAGAGGAGCCGGACAGTGTCAGCCACTCACTGTGCGTCTGTCACGGTTCTCCAGGGACAGAGGCAGTAGGGAGCGTGTGACAGAGTGTGTTCTGGGGTGTCCTTTGAAGGAACTGGCTCTTGACCTGATGGGAGCTGCAGGTCTGGCACTTGCAGGCAGGACGGCAGCTGGAGACCCAGTCCTGGGTCTTCAGAGGCTGGAACCGGCTCGAACCCAGAGAGCACATGGTGGCGTTCGCTGTGATGGTCAGAATGCCCTCTCCCTCAGAGTCTTTGCTGGACTGGGCAAGGCCCACCTTGCTCAGGTGGGCCACCTGCTCACCTCTGAAGATCTTTGCAGCAACCTCAGGACTAACATCTGACTGACCTGGGTCTCACGGCCCAGCCAGGTGGACAGCACAGGGTATCCTCCCTGATTTCCCCATTCCTGTCCTCCTCCAGCAGCTCTACCCAGGCATCTGCTTCCTGATGAGTCAGTGGTGGACACGCCAAGTGGAACAGTCACCTCAGAAGCCCGTGACGTCCTTGCTGCTCCTCCCTGGCTCAGGCTGTAAATCCCACGTCCTCCCTGGGAACAGTGTCTTGTCCAGGTAAACACTGCGGGGCGTGGGGCCGGCAGGGAACCTGGCACTCTGTCCCCCTGGCTCTGGGTCTAGCCTGCCCCGGGTTGGACCGGTGGCTAGCTGGGCTGTCGCTCTCACCGGGGCACCACATTCTTCCCACAGTTTGCTGTGTCAAAGCCCCCTCCCCGTCACCATGCCCATTTTGTCCTGTGGGAAAGCTACAATGGCAGAGGACCCCGGGGCCAAGGGCTGAAGATCCAACTGAGGCGGTGGCAGCTGCCCACACTGCACCTGTGCTGAGAAGAGGGCTGACCAGCAGACGGCCATGGGCCTTGTGTCCGTCCACTTCAGGGCCGTCTGATATTCTGACCTTGTGCATCTCGACCTCTGCAGCCCTGGTGGGGCGTTTCCCAGCTTATTTTCACCCTGGGTCTCTTCCCCTGACTCTGAACTGTCCTGGTCCCCGACATAAGCTAAGGGCACTTGATGACCTCAGCCAGCAATAGAGAAGCTGGCAGTGAAGCCACCTGGGCTGACTGTCCTGTTCACCACCATCTGCTTCAACGCCAGCCCCTTCCCACCATAGGCTGCCTCTCACTGCCAGCTCCCTGCTGGGCCACCTGACACCACAGCTCACACAGGCCCATTCGAGACCCTCTGATGAGCCCAGAGGGCTGGGGTCACCACCACTGTCCTACATAAAGGGGATACAGGTTGACCTTGTCCATCCAGCAAGGACCCACCTTCCATATATATGGAGAACCCACCTTCTCCACCAGGGAGGACTACCTTCTCCACCAGGGAGGACTACCTTCTCATCAGGGAGGAGTACCTTCTCTATCAGGGAGGAGTACCTTCTCTATCAGGGAGGACTACCTTCTCCATCAGGGAGGACCCACCTTCTCTATCAGGGAGGACCCACCTTCTCATCAGGGAGGACTACCTTCTCCATCAGGGAGGACCCACCTTCTCCATCAGGGAGGACCACCTTCTCCACCAGGGAGGACCCACCTTCTCATCAGGGAGGATCCACCTTCTCCATCAGGGAGGACCCACCTTCTCCATCAGGGAGGACCACCTTCTCCACCAGGGAGAACCCACCTTCTCCACCAGGGAGGACCCACCTTCTCATCAGGGAGGATCCACCTTCTCCATCAGGGAGGACCCACCTTCTCATCAGGGAGGACCCACCTTCTCCACCAGGGAGAACCCACCTTCTCCATCAGGGAGGACTACCTTCTCCACCAGGGAGGACCCACCTTCTCCATCAGGGAGGACCCACCTTCTCATCAGGGAGGATCCACCTTCTCCATCAAGAGGACCCACCTTCTCATCAGGGAGGACCCACCTTCTCCATCAGGGGGGATCCACCTTCTCCATCAGGGAGGACCCACCTTCTCATCAGGGAGGACCCACCTTCTCATCAGGGAGGATCCACCTTCTCATCAGGGAGGAACCACCTTCTCATCAGGGAGGATCCACCTTCTCATCAGGGAGGAACCACCTTCTCCATCAGGGAGGAACCACCTTCTCATCAGGGAGGACTACCTTCTCTATCAGGGAGGATCCACCTTCTCCATCAGGAGGACCCACCTTCTCATCAGGGAGGACCCACCTTCTCCATCAGGGAGGAACCACCTTCTCATCAGGGAGGACTACCTTCTTTATACAGGGAGGACCCACCTTCTCATCAGGGAGGACCCACCTTCTCCATCAGGGAGGAACCACCTTCTCATCAGGGAGGACTACCTTCTTTATACAGGGAGGACCCACCTTCTCCATCTGGGAGGACCCGCCTTCTCCACACAGGGAGGAACCACCTTGTCTATACAGGGAGGAACCACCTTGTCTATACAGGGAGGATCCTGTATAGAGAAGACCCCCTTCTTCATCAGGGAGGACCCATCTTCATCATTAGGGAGGACCCACCTTCTCCATCAGGCAGAACCCACCTTTCTCATCAGGGAGGATCTCACATTCTTTATCCAGGGAAGATCTATCGTCTCTCTAAGATCTACCTTCTCCATCAGGGAGTATCAACATTCTCCATCAGGAGGATTTCCCTTTCATCCAGAAAGGACCCACCTTCTTGGAGCTAAGGGCAGGGGGCTGCTGTGCTTAGCATCCTATCTGGCTAGAATTCCTCTAATCCCTACCAAAGCAGAGAAAGTCTGGCATGGAAAATCACTGCCTCTTGGGTTGCTCCTTGGGTTCCCTCAGGGCTTGGTGCCAGCATGTGCAGCCTAAGCAGGGAAGTGGTACAATAGTGTTCAGCTCAGTTCCCTAATCCCTACCCAGGCCACACACTCAGCGTCCCTGTGCTCAAGTCCTGGCTGAGAGGATGGACCCCAGGCCAGAACTAGTGGGCACAGTGGGACCAGATGAGGGGCTTCCTCCCAGGCCCCTGGCTAATGGTCTTCTTTGCCCCTGACATCCTTAGAGTGCAAGGACTCCACTCCAGTCCTGTTTGTCCCTATGGCCTGAGGGTCCTTCCTGTAGTGGTCTAGAGGCCTGAGAGTGAGGTGGCATCAAAACACAGGCTCTGACGCTGGTGGTGAAGAAAGTCTGGCCCTAGCAAGGGCTCCCCTCTAGCCCAGGTCACCACCTGTGTGGCCCTTGACCAGGGCAGCAGTGTGGCCAGGGGAAGAGGCACAGTGCCCTTGATCCAGTTCCTCCATGACCATTAGATGGATCCCTCCTCACTGTTTCTGGAGCTCAGGACCCCCCCGACTGGCATCTGAGGCCGACTTGAGCCCACTGTGAGCATTCCGGCTAAACTCTGAAACTAAATTCGGGATTGTCTCTGTTTTCAGGAGGATGAAAATGCAGTGAGGGGAGGGACTCCAGATTCTAGTTTATCTCCTGCTCCAGGGGGGGTGCCAGTGGGTGCCTCTCCCTCTCTGTGTGGCCTCGAGAGCCGGCACCCTCGGTGGGTTTGGGTTTGGGGCTGGTATATGCTCAAGGGCTACACACGGTTCCTGGGGGGATTCCAGGCACCAATGTCCAGCTTTGGGCTGGGCTCAGAGAGCCTGAGGTTCATCAGAGGCCACTGTTCTCCCTGGAGCAGGATCCACTGCCTTGAATGAGGTGTGGCCAGGGGAGCCTGGGCAGGTTGCCCCTCCAGGCCCCGTCCTCATGCATCCCCAGGGGCAGCAGCAGCAGGTGGGGGCGTCTGCGAGGGCAGGGCCTGCTGCGGGGGCACCCTCCCTACCTGGGCCTCCTTCCTTCGGGGACAGGCATTCCAGGCACTGAGCCAGTTCCTCCATGCTCCAGGGGACCGGGTTCCGGCAAGTGTCCCTGGCTGGACTGGTGCTCCTCAAGTTCTAATTACATGTAATTCCAGAGACTGGCTGAGGCTAGGAAAACAGGGGGATTAGGGAGGGGACAGAGCTGGGCTCTGACCCAGGCGAAGAGCTCCCTGCAGCGGGGTGGACCCCAGGCCCCACGGGAGCTCATAGGCTGCCTGCACACGGGGAAGGTACAGGTGGCCAAGTCCTGCCCGCTCCCCAGAGTTTGGACCCCTGATGGGTGGGCTTGGCTGCCTTGGGGTGACAAAGGCCTGAGCTCTTTGGGGACCTGTGGCCATCTCAGTCCACACTGCCTGGGGAGGAGTGGGGTCCCGGGAATGAAAGAGATTGGTAAATGCTGGTCATGGATCTTCCAAAGCCCCTTGTTCATCCTGGGCTTTGTTGGCGGGGGGGCACTGGACTGTGGTCTGGTGGGCTGAGTGGGCCCATAGAGTCTGCCAGGACACGCTTCCGGTGGGAAAGCCCCTACCCTGTCCCCTGGGGCCTGGTCCGCTAGTGGCTGGGAGGGGTGGGAGGGTCGCCCTGGGTGTGTTCTGCATTTGGGTAATTGGGCTGCTGCATCCTGAGGAAGGCCGAGTTTGCCCAGGGAGTCATAAAAAGATAAATGCAGATAACCTGAATCAATATTTTCCCACTGTGGTCTCCACGAGCCCCCACAGCTGTTTTCTTGATAATCTGGCCAACGCCCCCACCCTCTGCCCCTCCCCTGCCCTCCGCCCTCTGACGGCCCACTGGGGCATATAAGTCCCAGACTCCAGGCCGGGGTGCTCTCCCACAGTGCCCTTCAGAGCCGCCATGGGGCTGCAACTGGCCCGCCTAGTGGCCATCTGCCTGGCCCTGGCCTTGGCTGGAGGCTCTGCACTCCAGAGAGGTGAGAAGCCTGGTGAGGTGGGCAGGGGATGGGCAGAGAGTGCTGGCACAGGAAGGCAGGCATCCAGGAGCAGGCACAGCGCCTGGGAGTGGGCTGGTCCCCTCTGCCTGCATCCGCTGGACTGCGTACACTGGACAACCAGAGTAGCTCCTGCCTGGATGAATTGTTGCGGCCCTTGCCGTCCCTTTGAGCTTGAAAACCTGGCCAGAGGGGCCCAGGGGACCCCATGCCCAGTGGAAGATCAGCAGAACACCTGAGGGGTGCTTCCGAGGTGGGGGAGTGTGGGGTCCCAGGACAGCCCTGGCGGGTCAAGGCCTAGGCGGCACCTCTGAAGAGGGGCTGTGTCCACCTGGTGAAGGGTCACTTCAGCCCAAAAGACTAGGGAACCTCCATTCCATCAGGGCTCTGCATCAGGTGGACAGAGTGACCAGGGTGCCTGACAGTCCCTCGGCCCTCACCGCCCGCTGGGTCGCACCCCAGGCCAGGCAGCTGGAGATGTGCTCCTGGGGCTGAGACCCCGGCCGTGACCCAGGCCTAAGAGGTCCTCCTGCAGTGGGGGGGCCTTCTGGACATGGCTACCTCTGGGGCCAGCTTGGGGTGGACTGGGGCAGAACTCCCTGGGCCTGGGTGGCTCACCCCGTGCCCCCACGGTCCCCACAGAGGCCAGACCCCGAAGCCATGGTCACAGCGTCTGCAGCACCTGGGGTGACTTCCACTACAAGACCTTCGACGGTGACGTCTTCCGCTTCCCCGGCCTCTGTGACTACAACTTCGCCTCCGACTGCCGAGACTCCTACAAGGAATTTGCCGTGCACCTGAAGCGCAGCCAGGGCCAGGGTGGGGGCCATCCCCAGGTGGAGTCCATCCTGCTGACCATCAAGGATGACACCATCTACCTCACCCACCAACTGGTTGTGGTGAATGGGGCCATGTGAGTGGGCTTGGGCAGCGTCCCATCCCGTAGCCTGGGGAGGGCTCTGTGGTCTAGATAGTCCCTGTGAGGCCCTGCTGCTCCGGTTGGTGGCCCGGGGGAAAGCCCTGAGGGTGGACTCGGGTCACAATTCCCTCTGTACACACTGCTGAGGCCCCTGGAGGTTGACAGGGGTCTTCACCCTGGGAGCCCCTAGCTGTCTCTCCCCTTGGAGCTGGCCAGTGGTCCTGGACTGGGGAGCCTGGAGGCTGCCAGAGCTGCTCCCCAGGGTAGGGTTTCAGGAGCTGCCCACCCTGGCTAGCTATTGTCCCTTCATTGTCTCTGGGACAATGAGGCCCTCTTAAATGTATTCCTGTCCAGCGGGTTCCCACCTGCGGGCCTGCCCTCTTCCTGCCCCAGGGGTTCTATTTCCTACACTAGACTCTAGCTGAGCTCCTACCCTGCCTGGCCTGCCCGGCCTGGGTCATGGTGGGTGGAGAGCAGGAGGGCCCCTGGGTGAGGCAGGTGCCCGGGGGGAGGTCCCCGAGAGCATCAAGACTGTCTAGGGTGATGGGTGGGTGGGGGCTGAAGCCCCGCCCCACGCAGACTGAGAGAGGGCCTGGAAGGGGGTTGGGTGGCTTGGCCTCCTTCTCCCCCCACTCTCAGGGCTCCTGGGAGGGTCCTGCCCAGGACAGTGCCCACAGTGTGAAAGGAGATGAGCAGTCTGAGTTGGTCCTGCCCCAAGGAACCTGGCCAGCCCAGAAGAGGTGTTCTCATGTGCCCCCTGGGCCTGGCCAAGTCTGTTTGTGGCCCCAGTGTGAGGCCAGGCCAGCAGCTATCCCCCATCTCCCACCATGCACCCAGCCTCAGTGCCCTCTGGGCAGCAGGACCCGGAGAGGACAAGAAGGGTGGGCCCTGGGCCAGGTGCTGGCAAGTGACTTGTGGTGCCCCCGCAGGGTCAGCACCCCACATTACAGCTCTGGGCTGCTCATCGAGAAGAATGAGGCCTACACCAAGGTCTACTCCCGCGCTGGTCTCTCCCTCATGTGGAACCGTGAAGACGCGCTCATGGTGGGTACCAGCATCCTGGCCCCTGGGGTGCAGGGCTCCTCCACCAGCCAAGTCCTGGTTGACTTTAGGAGGGTGCAGGTGGTGGAGACAGCGGGCAGCACCAAGCCTTGGGGCTGTCTGGCCCTGGGGGCTGCCTGGCCCTGGGCTGTCTGGCCCTGGGGTGGCCTGGCCCTGGGGGCTGCCTGGCCCTGGGGGCTGCCTAGCCCTGGGCTGCCTGGCCCTGGGCTGTCTGGCCCTGGGGGCTGCCTGGGGGCTGTCTGGCCCTGGGGGCTGCCTGGGGGCTGCCTAGCCCTGGGGCTGTCTGGCCCTGGGGGCTGCCTGGCCCTGGGCTGTCTGGCCCTGGGGTGGCCTGGCCCTGGGGCTGCCTGGCCCTGGGGTGGCCTGGCCCTGGGGCTGCCTGGGGGCTGCCTAGCCCTGGGGCTGTCTGGCCCTGGGGGCTGCCTGGCCCTGGGGCTGTCTGGCCCTCAGCTTCCCGCCCCCCAACACGCTGCTTCTCAGTGGTAGATGCCCCTATTCCCTGCTGCTCCTTATTAAGGTGCCAGCCTGGCCTAGGGCTCCCCAAGGCCTTGGGCCCACTCACCTGCCCACTTCCCCACAGCTGGAGCTGGACAGCAGGTTCCAGAACCACACCTGCGGCCTCTGCGGGGACTTCAATGGCCTGCCGTCCTACTCGGAGTTCCTCTCTGAAGGTGAGCGCTGGGCTGGGGTTCTGTGGGGTGGAGGCAGGGGTGGAGCTGCTGACCGCTGACCAGCTGTGCCCCCAGGCGTCACATTCAGTGCCATTGAGTTTGGGAACATGCAGAAGATCAATAAGCCTGAGGTGGTGTGCGAGGACCCCGAGGAGGTGCCCGCACCTGAGTCCTGCTCCAAGCACGTGAGTCCCAGCCTGGGGGCCCTTAGAGTTTCTGGGTGGGGCCCCCATCTGTGGGTGCTCTCGGGAACCCTGCTGTGGGGAGAGAGGGGAGCTGTGAGCAGTTGCCCACCCCCACGTCCTTCCTGCCAGCGTGCTGAGTGCGAGAGATTGCTGACCGATGCGGCCTTCCAAGACTGCCAGGCCCGGCTGCCGCTGGAGCTGTACGTGCAGGCCTGCATGCAGGATCGCTGCCGGTGCCCGCAGGGTGGGGCCTGCGTCTGCAGCACCCTCGCCGAGTTCTCCCGTCAGTGCTCCCACGCTGGCGGCCGGCCTGGGAACTGGAGGTCGGCCTCCTTCTGCCGTAAGTGGCCCGAGACAGAGCCAGTGGCAGCCTCCCTGGGTCTAGGGAGCCCCGGGAAGGGGTCTGTGCCAAGTCCCCGGGGGCCACAGCTGTGGGGAGCCAGGTGACTCCAGTGGCCGAGACTGAGGCCCTTGGACATGGCCACCTGCCACCGTGCTCTGCCCTCGTGGGATCACCTGTTCACGGAGCTGCCTTCACTTCCAGCCAAGAGCTGCCCCGGGAACATGGTTTACCTGGAGAGCGGCTCACCCTGCGTGGACACCTGCTCACACCTGGAGGTCAGCAGCCTGTGCGAGGAGCACCACATGGACGGCTGTTTCTGCCCAGAAGGTTGTGCTCGGGGGGCGGGTGCCTGCTGAGTTGGGGTGGGAGCCAGGCTGGCAGCCCCGCCCTGGGGAGAATGGCATGGCTGAGCCGCCCAGGGTGACTTCACCTCCCCTGCTGTCCCAGGCACTGTGTATGATGACCTCACGGGCAGCGGCTGCATCCCCGTCAGCCAGTGCCACTGCAAGCTGCACGGGCACCTGTATGTGCCGGGCCAGGAGATCACCAATGACTGTGAGCAATGGTGAGTTGCTGGTCCAGGGCACAGGGCCTGGAAGGCTGGGGCGTCCCCGAGCCCTGACCCTGTGTTCTGATGGCCGACAGTGTCTGCCATGCTGGCCGCTGGGTGTGTAAAGACCTGCCATGCCCTGGGACCTGCACCCTGGAGGGTGGCTCCCACATCACCACCTTCGATGGGAAAAAGTTCACCTTTCATGGGGACTGCTACTACGTCCTGACCAAGGTGGGTGGGGTGGAGCTGGGGGCCCTGGGCCCTCCCAGCAGGGGACTGGCTGGCCCTTGAGAAGAGGGGGCCTGGGGCTGTCCCTAGGGTGGTGAAGGGTGTTGAGAAATGGGCTTCCCTTCTAAGTCACTGTGGAGCCCTGGGTTCAGGGCTGGGCCCTGCCTCTGGGCCACAACCCTCCTGCCTTCCCCACACAGGGCGACCACAACGACTCCTTCACCCTCCTGGGCGAGCTGGCCCCCTGCGGCTCCACGGATAAGCAGACCTGCCTGAAGACAGTGGCACTGCTGATAGACAGGAAGAAGAACGTGGGTGCCCTGCCTGTCCCCCCAGGGCTCCAGACTCCTTGAAGCCTTCTCAGCCCTGAATACGCTTGGCCTTTCTTGTAGGTGGTGGCCTTCAAGTCGGATGGCAGCGTGCTACTCAACGAGCTGGCAGTGACCCTGCCCCACGTGGCTGGTGAGGGGAGGGGACCCAGAGCTGGTCTGGTCGGCTTGACCTGCTGGGATGTGGGCAGCTGGGGGCCTGGGGCACAGGAGGCTGGGCAGGGGAGGGTCCCTGTTCACTGGGCCACGCGGGCCTCTGCCGTGGGTGGAGGGAGCCCCCTGCGGCACCAGGGTGCGTGCCCTCACTGTGCCCTCCCTGCAGCCAGCTTCTCCATCTTCCAACCCTCCTCCTACCACATCGTCGTGAACACGGCCCTCGGGCTGCGGCTGCAGGTGCAGCTGGTGCCCGTCATGCAGCTCTTCGTGACGCTGGACCAGGCTGCCCAGGGGCAGGTGCAGGGTGAGTGGCCCCGCCTGGCTCTCCCCGCCCAGGTGCCCCCCCCAGCCCAGACCCCTCCCAACCGTGTCCTGGCCCCCCAGGGCTCTGCGGGGACTTCAATGGCCTGGAAAGTGACGACTTCAGGACGGCGGGTGGCCTGGTGGAGGCCACGGGGTCCAGCTTCGCCAACAGCTGGAAGGCCCAGGCCAGCTGCCATGACAAGCTGGACTGGCTGGATGACCCCTGTTCCCTCAACATCGAGAGTGGTGAGGCTCGGCTCCGCGGCGCCCACGGCCTGCCGTCCCTGAGCTCCGGCCAGCGAGGCGGGCAGGCGGGGCTCCTGGTGGGACAAGGGGTGGGTGAGGGTGGGTGGGTGGTGGCAGCCTGCCAAGTGACATGATGGGGGGTGACTGGCTCATGACTGGGTGGTGACCCTCGTCCAGAGATTGGCCCGGAGCCAGGACAGTGCGCCTTCCACCCAGCACCCCACAGCACCTGGTGGCTCTTGGCCCCTTGGGGTGGAGAGAGAGGAGGTAGCAGGGTGCACCCTGCCCAGAGCTTCCAGGGTATTTGACCAGAGGGACTGAGGGGGCCAGGGCTGGGGGCCACATCTGCTCCAGCCTGGGCGAGCCAGCCGCTGGACCCGGAGCGTGTGAGGGGCCTGGCCTTGCTGAGGCTCCCACCTGCCTCCCCAGCCAACTATGCGGAGCACTGGTGCTCCCTCCTGAAGAAGACGGAGACCCCCTTCGGCAGGTGCCACCTGGCGGTGGACCCCACTGAGTATTACAAGGTCAGTCCCCTCCCCCATGCCATGTGCCATGCCCAGAGCCTGCCTGGCGTGCCCAGTGGGTGACGGGCGTGTGTGCTGAGTGCACAGGGAGCCGGGTCGCACCCGGGGCTCCACCTCACTGCCCCCCCCCCCGTTTGCTTTCCAGAGATGCAAGTATGACACCTGCAACTGTCAGAACAACGAGGACTGCCTGTGCGCAGCGCTGTCCTCGTATGCGCGGGCCTGCGCCACCAAGGGCGTCATGCTGTGGGGCTGGCGGGAGCGCGTCTGCAGTGAGTGCCCCCTGAGGCTGGGCCCTGAGCACGGGTGGCCCAAGGGAGGGTCATCTCCTGCAGCTGGCTCCTAGTGGGCACCTTCAGGAACCAGGGATGGGGGTGGTCAGGAGCTGTGGCAGCTGTGGCGTCCCTGGGCGGCTGCCCTCCCTGGTCTCTTGGTCGGATGGGCGCTGCTGCCCTGATGGAGCGAGGCTCAGGGACAGTCTTCGGGGATGGAGCTGGGAGCTGGTCTCTCCTGTGCCTCACTCTGGTCCCTTGTTCTCTGCAGACAAGGACGTGGGCTCCTGCCCCAAATCTCAGACCTTCCTGTACAACCTGACCACCTGCCAGCAGACCTGCCGCTCACTCTCTGAGGGGGAAACCCACTGTCTCAAAGGCTTCACGCCCGTGGACGGCTGTGGCTGCCCTGACCACACCTTCTTGGATGAGAAGGGCCGCTGTGTGCCCCTGGCCAAGTGCTCCTGCTACCACCGAGGCCTCTACCTGGAGGCGGGGGATGTGGTCTTGAGGCAGGAGGAGCGCTGGTGGGTGTCTGGCCTGGGCAGGGGGGCCTGGGGTGGGGCAGGTCTGCCTCTGGAGCTCTGCTCTGAGTGAGACATGGGTGCAGATGGGCCTGGGGCGGGGGACTGGCAGGGGCAGCTTCCTTGACTGTCCCGAGTGAGGACTCCTGGGCCCTGTTTATCCCCCTCTCCTTCCCAGTGTCTGCCGAAATGGGAGGCTGCACTGTACGCAGGTCAAGCTGATCGGCCAGAGTAAGTGGATGCTGCTCTGTGCATGGCCACCGGCCCTTTGGCTTGCTCCCCTACTCCTTCTCCTGCCCACCCGTGCCCGCTAACTTCAGCGTGAGCTCAGGCAGCCCCTTTGTCCCACAGGCTGTGCGGCCCCAAAGATCCTTGTCGACTGCAACAACCTGACTGCCCTGGCCACCCGAGAGCCCCGCCCCACCAGCTGTCAGACGCTGGTTGCTGGCTATGTGCGTGCTGGGGAGGGTTGTGGTGGGTGGGCTGGGTGGGCTGGGTGGGGTATTTCTGGCTGAGCCATTGTGGAGGGAGCAGGTAGACTCCTCTATGCCCTGTCCACCAGGTCCGGATGCTGAATCCTATGGATACTGGATTTTGTTGACACTGCCCCTGTTGTGGGAAGGAAGTGGTGGCCTCTGGGCCCCCTGGGAACAGGGGCCAGTTTAGCGGCTCTAGGCAGGCCACCTTCACCTGTCTTCCTGCCCACATGTCGGCCGGAGGGGAGAGGCCTGGGGCCAGGGAGAGATTCTCCCACTGTGTCCTCCCAACTCCCAGAGGGAGCTTTGGTCTCATTGAAGCCCCCTCTGCTGCCCCCAGTACCATACAGATTGTGTCAGTGGCTGTGTCTGCCCTGAGGGGCTCCTGGATGATGGCCGGGGTGGCTGTGTGGTGGAGGAGGAGTGCCCGTGTGTCCACAACAAGGACCTGTACGCCCCTGGGGACAATATCAAGCTAGATTGCAACAACACCTGGTAAGTGGCCTGGCTGAGGGTACCCTGCTGGGTCCTACAGGGCCAGGGGTGGCTCTGGCTCAGCTGATGGGCAGTCTCTCATGTCCGCCCCTGGCCCTGGGGCAGAGGTGGGGTGCAGGGTATGTTTGGGCTGCTGTGGGTGCTGTTCGGTGTCCTGCATGGGCTGCCAGGAGTTGTCTCCACCAACCCAGGGTCTAAGCCAGGTTGGTGTCTGAGCAGGGGTGGGGCCCTGGGCTCTGGCCCCTTCAGGTTTCTCTCCTATTCTCAGCACCTGCCAGAGAGGACGCTGGCAATGTACCCAGTTCCTGTGCCACGGTACCTGTTCCATTTACGGGAGTGGCCACTACATCACCTTTGACGGGAAGCACTATGACTTTGATGGACACTGCTCCTACGTGGCTGTCCAGGTGAGGCCTGCCCTGCCCCACCGTCCCCACGGTCCCCGCTCTACCGGCTCTGAGATGCAGGAGACCTTGTGGGAGGCCCGTCCTCTGCCCCAGGCCCCACCTGGTCAAGGTTTGGGCTTCTGGCTGGGAGAGGGGTGGGCACGGTAAAGCCCCCTCTCCAGTTCCGTGACCCTCCTGCTGAAGTACCTGTGTGTGCACACGCATGTGTAATCAGGACAGGCCTGGCTGGCTGGCCCAGCCCTGGCACCCCCGGTGCCACTGTTATCCCCAGCCACCCGATGAGGGGCTGCCCTCGCCAGGTCTGAGTTGGAGCTAGCTGACCTCACCCACTGGCCCCTAGGACTACTGCGGCCAGAACTCCTCAACAGGCTCCTTCAGCATTATCACTGAGAATGTCCCCTGTGGCACCACTGGCGTCACCTGCTCCAAGGCCATCAAGATCTTCATAGGGGTGAGTGCTGCCCATCCCTGGGGTTCCCAGAGCCCTCGGGGACCCTCGGACACTGCTAGTGACCTGCCTCTCCTCTGGGCAGAGGACGGAGCTGAAGCTGGAGGACAAGCGCCGGGAAGTGGTCCAGCTCGAGGAGGGCCACCAGGTGGCCTACACCACGCGGGAAGTGGGCCAGTACCTGGTGGTTGAGGCTAGCACCGGCATCATCGTCATCTGGGACAAGAAGACCACCATCTTCATCAAGCTGGCTCCGTCCTACAAGGTGGGCCGCCCCGCCGGCCAGCCCTCTCAGGGCCGCCCCTCTGTGGCCTCTGAACTGTGCTGCCCCCCCCCCCCCAGCTGCCTGGCCTGTGAAGCCTATGCTCCTTCCCCACAGGGCACTGTGTGCGGCCTGTGCGGGAACTTTGATGACCGCACTAGCAACGACTTCACCACGCGGGACCACATGGTGGTGAGCAGCGAGCTGGACTTCGGGAACAGCTGGAAGGAGGCCTCCACCTGCCCAGACGTGAGCACCATCCCGGACCCCTGCAGCCTGAACCCGCACCGCCGCTCCTGGGCTGAGAAACAGTGCAGCATCATCAAGAGCAGCGTGTTCAGCGTGTGCCACAGCAAGGTGGGCGGGGCTGCGGGCCTGGGCGGGGCCACAGCAAGGTGGGCGGGGCTGCGGGCCTGGGCGGGGCCGGGCGAGGGGCGCGGTCGTGGCCCTGCAGCCTCTACCCTGCGCTGAGGGCACTCTGGGGAGTGGCTCCCTGTGGAGTACTTGTCCTTGAGTTTTCTCCTTTCTCATTGTTCTTTGGACACATGAGGAGATGACCAGGTGATCCTCTGAGACTCCTGGTTGGACCCAGCCTCCCTCTACCTCTCTGACTTACATGCTCACAATGGAGGGAGGGAAGGCAGGTAAGGGGCTAATGACCAGATGGCCCCAGATACTGGCAACAGAGGGCAGGACTGGTTTTAGGATGGCCATCTTATCCTGAGACCTTCGAAGCCCCAGGGCTGCACAGTTAGGGTGTCTTTGGACACCCCCAGTTATGAGTCACTTTGGAGCCCTGGGCCGACCAGGGCCAGACGCAGGGTCCTGGCCTCATGAAGGCAGCGAGGGCCCAGGGCACACCACGTCTTCTCCTCAGGTGGACCCCACAGTCTTCTACGAGGCCTGCGTGCAGGACTCCTGTTCCTGTGACACGGGGGGCGACTGCGAGTGCTTCTGCTCTGCCGTGGCCTCCTACGCCCAGGAGTGCACCAAGGCGGAGGCCTGTGTGTTCTGGAGGACACCGGATCTGTGCCGTGAGTGCCCACTGTCCTGACCAGGGGCTGCAGTGAGGGCTGGGGGCAGGCGGCACTCCCTCCCCTCCAAGTGACAGCACGTATGTCATTAACCCCATGCTTCCTGGGCATCATGCTTCTTCCTGGGATCACTGTGAGACCTGGTTGTCCAGACCTGGCTGGACGTGTCCCTGCCCACTCCCCCATCCCAGCCTCACCTTTGTCTGGACCCCTGCCTGCATCCTGCTGAGTCTGACCCTGTCGCTATCCTCCTGTCCTCCCTCCAGCCATATTCTGTGACTACTACAACCCCCCGGACGAGTGTGAGTGGCATTATGAGCCGTGTGGGAACCGCAGCTTTGAAACCTGCAGGACCATCAACGGCATCCACTCCAACATCTCTGTGTCCTACCTGGAGGGTGAGCAGGGAGGGCCTTGGGGGCAGGAGGTAGCCCTGCTGGTAGGCGTCGTGGGGCTTAAAGCTGCCATTGGCTGGAGACCCATGGGAACCCTGGCGGGAGGCCTGAGGTCTGCAGATCTGAGGCCCAGGGGGCGGCCAGGCTCACCTGTGGCAGAATGTGTCCTTCGAGCAGTGGGCTTGGGCTGCCCTGAAGCTCCTCAAGGAGAATCAGAGAAGCAGCAGCTAACAGCCCTGAGAGGGGCTGGCTAGGCAGAGGACCCCCAGGGGTGGGGAGACCCAGCCCTCTCTGTCCCCTGGCCTTGCCAGAGGAACACCCCGAGAGACACGACTGATGGGTGGGGATGCTGGGGAGGCTCCAGTGGACCTCCCTGGAAGTCCAAGGCCCTTGCCCTGTGCCCGTCAGGTTGCTACCCCCGATGCCCTACGGACAGGCCCATCTACGATGAGGACCTGAAGAAGTGTGTCACTGGGGACCAGTGTGGCTGCTATGTTGGGGACACCCGCTACCCCCCTGGAGCGCTGGTTCCCACGAAGGACATCTGCACATCCTGGTACTCAAGCCCACAAAGCAAGGGGTCAGGCGGGGGCTCGGTGCACACGCAGGCACGCCACACACACACACATAACAAGCACACACACACAATCCCATGCTGCTCCATGCAGGTGCACATACCCATGCGTGTGCACGCAGCCACATGCATCTCATACACACACGTCCACACACAGAGTGCGTGCCTGTACTCATGCATGGACACAGTCCCGCAGGTGCACACAGTCACACATGCACATGAATGTCACCTGCCTGTTCCAGCTTTTTCCCATCTTACCTGTCCCGTGCCTCTGCCCGCATTTAGAACCTGATGGGTGGGGCTCCTCTGGAGCTGGTTTTGGGGATGGGGTCTGCACTGGGAGCAGGCCTGGAGGGAGGGGCAGGAGGCCTGCAGCCACTGTGCTTGCTTTGCAGTGTGTGCACTGACTCCTCACATGTGGTCTGCCACCCGGAGGAAGGTAAGCTGTCCTCTGTTGCTACCTCTGCGGCAGGAAGCCTGCAGCCTGCCCCGTCCCTGCATCCATGGGCCTGGCCTGCGTGGGGTTGTCCTCTTGGGTTCTACCTGTTTGGTGCCCAGACATGTTCAGACCTGCTGGGCTGTGCAGCAGCCCATGGGCTCCTGTGACACGCTGAGTCCCTTCTTATGGGAGCCGGTGCCTCATGGTGAACATCTGCTGCCCCTCCCTCTGTGTCTCCTATGTTCTGATGAGGCCCCTTCCTCAAGGGGAGGAGATCCAGGAAAGGGGTCCTGCTGGGGCACTTGTGGAACTGGGGGCACCCAGTGTCTCCTCAGGTGTGAGTCTGCCTCCACCTGCCGTGCTGATGGCTGGCCTCCTCCCCCCAGGGAAGATTCTCAACCAGACTCAGGATGGTGTCTTCTGCTACTGGGAGTTCTGTGGCCCCAATGGGACAGTGGAGAGGCACTTCAACATGTGTGCAACTACCACGGCACCCCCGTCCACGCCGACTTCCTCCACCACCTCTGTCCCCACCACCACCTCCTCTGTCCCCACCACCACCACCACCACCACCACCCCCTTCACCAGCCCAGGTGAGGCCCCATGGCCGCGGATCTCTGCTGGGGACCTTGCCTTTCCCCTGCAGCCCACGTGGCCTGGGTGGCCAGCTTCTGTCTGCAGATCAGCTGCCAGATGAGGTAACATCCATGTGGCCTGTGTCCCTGCAAAGATGCCTTTAAGGCCTAATCAGAGGACTTCCTTAAATTCCTGTTTGTTGTGGTCAAAATCATGGACACACTGGACAAACCACCAGGGTGTGACAAGACACAGGAAGGCACACTGAAAAGTGAAGAGAGTCAAAGGGTCTCGGCCTGGGTAACGAGACCCTTCCGCTCTCTATTGCAGTTCCGTCAACTTCAAGTAAGTGACGCTGCAATATGTCACGGTGACAAACAGGGCCAAGATGAGCAAAATCTATAGAACCCCCAGGAGGCTGCTTGGGGCCTGCGAGGCTGGTGGGCTTCTCTGCTGAAGGACCAGTGATGGGTGTATTTGGGCAACTTTACTGTCTGCTCAGGCCAGGGACTAGTGAGGAGGGGCTGGACCTGCGTGAGGGACCATGCGGTTGGCCAAGAGTAGAGACAAGGCCTGTCCATACTCCCCCTTCCTGGAGCTGTGGCTCTACGGGTACCTCCTTTTGTTCCTTTTTAAATTTTCTTTTTTTTTTTTTAGTTGTAGTCAGACACAGTACCTTTATTTTGTTTATTTTTATGTGGTGCTGAGGATCGAATTCAGTGCCTTGCACGTGCTAGGTGAGCGCTGTACCCTGAGCCACAACCACAGCCCCCCCTTTTGACACTAGGATGTGGAACAGCTGCGGAAGGGGTGCCTACCTGAAGCTTCAAGGTTTGGGCCTGTCAGACCCAGACATGGCCTGGGGTGGCCTCTGTCCTCTGGGCCTCAATATTATAGTTGTAAAATGAGGGTGAAGTCAGTTTAAGCCCTGTCCTGCAAACTGGTCCTTTAGAGATGACAGGAGGGGCAGCCATACCTTAAGGATGGTCATGGAGGTCCCAAGCCCTTCTGGGCATGGAGACCTTGAAGGTGCCTGTGCCCAGATGCAAATGACCACTGGGGGGGGGGTTTGCTTCTAGAGCACTGCTGCTTCTGGACTGACTGGATCAACGAGGACCACCCGAGCAGCAGCAGCGATGGTGGTGACCGAGAGACCTTTGACAGTGTTTGCAAGGCTCCAGAGGACATACAGTGCAGGTCGGCCACGGAGCCCCACCTCTCCTGGGAAGAGCTGGGCCAGAACGTACAGTGCAACCTCTCCGTTGGGTTTATCTGCAAAAACGAAGACCAGTTCCTGACTGGACCATTCGAACGCTGCTATGACTATGAGATACGGGTGAATTGTTGCGTACCATGGTGGGAATGCCCCACCTCGCACACGCCCAGGACCACGCCCACACCCACGACCACGCCCACACCCACGCCCACGCCCACGACAACACCTATACCCACAACCACAACTCACGCCACACCAACACCATCACCGACCACGCCCACAACCTCACCCACGCCCACGCCCACAACCACAACCACGGAGTCCCCGACTCCAACGCCCACCCCCCCGGTGACAACAATCCCAACCTCCACCACCACCACGACAACCACCCCTCCTTGTCTGGACTGCGAATGGACTGGCTGGCTGGACTCCGGAAAACCCAACTTTGACAAGCCAGGAGGAGATTTTGAATCAATTGGAGGTGTCTGTGCCCTGGGCTGGGCAGCTAACATCTCCTGCCGAGCAGTGATGTATCCTCAGGTTCCAGTCCAGCAGCTTGGGCAGCAAGTGGTGTGTGACCTCTCAGTAGGACTGGTCTGCAGAAACGAAGACCAAAGGCCAGGCGGAGTCATTCCCATGCCCTTCTGCCTCAACTACGAGATCAACGTCCAGTGCTGCAGACCCTGTGGCTCCACATCAGCACCGCCTACGACCACCACCACTGAGACCACCACAGGGACCGTTACCCCAACTCTCACCACCATAGAGAATTCAACCTCAACAACTGTCACCACACCGACGACTACCACGACCCACACCCCAACACCAACACCCACCACCATGACCACAGAGTCCCCAAGTCCAACACCCACCACCACGGTAACACCAACCCCAATATCCACCACCACACAGACCCCAACCCCAACATCTACCATCACTACCACCATCACTGAGACCACAACACCTACAGCCACCACCACGACCACAGAGACCACAAGCCCACAGACCACCACCACGGTGACACCAACCCCAATATCCACCACCACACAGACCCCAACCCCAACATCTACCATCACTACTATCGTCACTGAGACCACAACACCTACACCCACCACCACAACCACAGAGTCCCCAAGTCCAACGCCCACCACCACAGTGACACCAACCCCAATATCCACCACCACACAGACCCCAACCCCAACATCTACCATCACTACCACCATCACTGAGACCACAAAACCTACACCCACCACCACGACCAAAGAGACCACAAGCCCACAGACCACCACCACAGTGACACCAACCCCAATATCCACCACCACACAGACCCCAACCCCAACATCTACCATCACTACTATCGTCACTGAGACCACAACACCTATACCCACCACCAGGACCACAGAGTCCCCAAGTCCAAAGCCCACCACCACGGTGACACCAACCCCAATATCCACCACCACACAGACCCCAACCCCAACACCTACCATCACTACTATCGTCACTGAGACCACAACACCTACACCCACCACCACAATCACAGAGACCACAAGCCCACAGACCACCACCACGGTGACACCAACCCCAATATCCACCACCACACAGACCCCAACCCCAACACCTACCATCACTACTATCGTCACTGAGACCACAACACCTACACCCACCACCACAACCACAGAGACCACAAGCCCACAGACCACCACCACGGTGACACGAACCCCAATATCCACCACCACACAGACCCCAACCCCAACATCTACCATCACTACTATCATCACTGAGACCACAACACCTACACCCACCACCACAACCACAGAGTCCCCAAGTCCAACGCCCACCCCCACGGTGACACCAACCCCAATATCCACCACCACACAGACCCCAACCCCAACATCTACCATCACTACTATCGTCACTGAGACCACAACACCTACACCCACCACCACAACCACAGAGTCCCCAAGTCCAACGCCCACCACCACAGTGACACCAACCCCAATATCCACCACCACACAGACCCCAACCCCAACATCTACCATCACTACCACCATCACTGAGACCACAAAACCTACACCCACCACCACGACCACAGAGACCACAAGCCCACAGACCACCACCACAGTGACACCAACCCCAATATCCACCACCACACAGACCCCAACCCCAACATCTACCATCACTACTATCGTCACTGAGACCACAACACCTATACCCACCACCAGGACCACAGAGTCCCCAAGTCCAAAGCCCACCACCACGGTGACACCAACCCCAATATCCACCACCACACAGACCCCAACCCCAACACCTACCATCACTACTATCGTCACTGAGACCACAACACCTACACCCACCACCACAACCACAGAGACCACAAGCCCACAGACCACCACCACGGTGACACCAACCCCAATATCCACCACCACACAGACCCCAACCCCAACACCTACCATCACTACTATCGTCACTGAGACCACAACACCTACACCCACCACCACAACCACAGAGACCACAAGCCCACAGACCACCACCACGGTGACACGAACCCCAATATCCACCACCACACAGACCCCAACCCCAACATCTACCATCACTACTATCATCACTGAGACCACAACACCTACACCCACCACCACAACCACAGAGTCCCCAAGTCCAACGCCCACCCCCACGGTGACACCAACCCCAATATCCACCACCACACAGACCCCAACCCCAACATCTACCATCACTACTATCGTCACTGAGACCACAACACCTACACCCACCACCACAACCACAGAGTCCCCAAGTCCAACGCCCACCACCACAGTGACACCAACCCCAATATCCACCACCACACAGACCCCAACCCCAACATCTACCATCACTACCACCATCACTGAGACCACAAAACCTACACCCACCACCACGACCACAGAGACCACAAGCCCACAGACCACCACCACAGTGACACCAACCCCAATATCCACCACCACACAGACCCCAACCCCAACATCTACCTTCACTACTATCGTCACTGAGACCACAACACCTATACCCACCACCACGACCACAGAGTCCCCAAGTCCAACGCCCACCACCACGGTGACACCAACCCCAATATCCACCACCACACAGACCCCAACCCCAACACCTACCATCACTACTATCATCACTGAGACCACAACACCTACACCCACCACCACAACCACAGAAACCACAAGCCCACAGACCACCACCACGGTGACACCAACCCCAATATCCACCACCACACAGACCCCAACCCCAACACCTACCATCACTACTATTGTCACTGAGACCACAACACCTACACCCACCACCACAACCACAGAGACCACAAGCCCACAGACCACCACCACGGTGACACGAACCCCAATATCCACCACCACACAGACCCCAACCCCAACATCTACCATCACTACTATCCTCACTGAGACCACAACACCTACACCCACCACCACGACCACAGAGTCCCCAAGTCCAACGCCCACCCCCACGGTGACACCAACCCCAATATCCACCACCACACAGACCCCAACCCCAACATCTACCATCACTACTATCGTCACTGAGACCACAACACCTACACCCACCACCACAACCACAGAGTCCCCAAGTCCAATGCCCACCACCACAGTGACACCAACCCCAATATCCACCACCACACAGACCCCAACCCCAACATCTACCATCACTACTATCTTCACTGAGACCACAACACATACACCCACCACCACGATCACAGAGACCACAAGCCCACAGACCACCACCACGGTGACACCAACCCCAATATCCACCACCACACAGACCCCAACCCCAACATCTACCATCACTACTATCGTCACTGAGACCACAACACCTACACCCACCACCACAACCACAGAGTCCCCAAGTCCAACGCCCACCACCACGGTGACACCAACCCCAATATCCACCACCACACAGACCCCAACCCCAACATCTACCATCACTACTATCGTCACTGAGACCACAACACCTACACCCACCACAACCACAGAGTCCCCAAGTCCAACGCCCACCACCACGGTGACACCAACCCCAATATCCACCACCACACAGACCCCAACCCCAACATCTACCATCACTACTATCGTCACTGAGACCACAACACCTACACCCACCACCACAACCACGGAGTCCCCAAGTCCAACGCCCACCCCCCCGGTGACAACAATCCCAACCTCCACCACCACCACGACAACCACCCCTCCTTGTCTGGACTGCGAATGGACTGGCTGGCTGGACTCCGGAAAACCCAACTTTGACAAGCCAGGAGGAGATTTTGAATCAATTGGAGGTGTCTGTGCCCTGGGCTGGGCAGCTAACATCTCCTGCCGAGCAGTGATGTATCCTCAGGTTCCAGTCCAGCAGCTTGGGCAGCAAGTGGTGTGTGACCTCTCAGTAGGACTGGTCTGCAGAAACGAAGACCAAAGGCCAGGCGGAGTCATTCCCATGCCCTTCTGCCTCAACTACGAGATCAACGTCCAGTGCTGCAGACCCTGTGGCTCCACATCAGCACCGCCTACGACCACCACCACTGAGACCACCACAGGGACCGTTACCCCAACTCTCACCACCATAGAGAATTCAACCTCAACAACTGTCACCACACCGACGACTACCACGACCCACACCCCAACACCAACACCCACCACCATGACCACAGAGTCCCCAAGTCCAACACCCACCACCACGGTAACACCAACCCCAATATCCACCACCACACAGACCCCAACCCCAACATCTACCATCACTACCACCATCACTGAGACCACAACACCTACAGCCACCACCACGACCACAGAGACCACAAGCCCACAGACCACCACCACGGTGACACCAACCCCAATATCCACCACCACACAGACCCCAACCCCAACATCTACCATCACTACTATCGTCACTGAGACCACAACACCTACACCCACCACCACAACCACAGAGTCCCCAAGTCCAACGCCCACCACCACAGTGACACCAACCCCAATATCCACCACCACACAGACCCCAACCCCAACATCTACCATCACTACCACCATCACTGAGACCACAAAACCTACACCCACCACCACGACCAAAGAGACCACAAGCCCACAGACCACCACCACAGTGACACCAACCCCAATATCCACCACCACACAGACCCCAACCCCAACATCTACCATCACTACTATCGTCACTGAGACCACAACACCTATACCCACCACCAGGACCACAGAGTCCCCAAGTCCAAAGCCCACCACCACGGTGACACCAACCCCAATATCCACCACCACACAGACCCCAACCCCAACACCTACCATCACTACTATCGTCACTGAGACCACAACACCTACACCCACCACCACAACCACGGAGTCCCCAAGTCCAACGCCCACCCCCCCGGTGACAACAATCCCAACCTCCACCACCACCACGACAACCACCCCTCCTTGTCTGGACTGCGAATGGACTGGCTGGCTGGACTCCGGAAAACCCAACTTTGACAAGCCAGGAGGAGATTTTGAATCAATTGGAGGTGTCTGTGCCCTGGGCTGGGCAGCTAACATCTCCTGCCGAGCAGTGATGTATCCTCAGGTTCCAGTCCAGCAGCTTGGGCAGCAAGTGGTGTGTGACCTCTCAGTAGGACTGGTCTGCAGAAACGAAGACCAAAGGCCAGGCGGAGTCATTCCCATGCCCTTCTGCCTCAACTACGAGATCAACGTCCAGTGCTGCAGACCCTGTGGCTCCACATCAGCACCGCCTACGACCACCACCACTGAGACCACCACAGGGACCGTTACCCCAACTCTCACCACCATAGAGAATTCAACCTCAACAACTGTCACCACACCGACGACTACCACGACCCACACCCCAACACCAACACCTACCACCACGACCACAGAGTCCCCAAGTCCAACACCCACCACCACGGTGACACCAACCCCAATATCCACCACCACACAGACCCCAACCCCAACATCTACCATCACTACTATCGTCACTGAGACCACAACACCTACACCCACCACCACAACCACAGAGTCCCCAAGTCCAACACCCACCACCACGGTGACACCAACCCCAATATCCACCACCACACAGACCCCAACCCCAACATCTACCATCACTACCACCATCACTGAGACCACAACACCTACACCCACCACCACGACCACAGAGACCACAAGCCCACAGACAACCACCACGGTGACATCAACCCCAATATCTACCACCACACAGACCCCAACCCCAACATCTACCATCACTACTATCGTCACTGAGACCACAACACCTACACCCACCACCACGACCACAGAGACCACAAGCCCACAGACCACCACCACGGTGACACCAACCCCAATATCCACCACCACACAGACCCCAACCCCAACATCTACCATCACTACTATCATCACTGAGACCACAACACCTACACCCACTACCACAACCACAGAGTCCCCAAGTCCAACACCCACCACCACGGTGACACCAACCCCAATATCCACCACCACACAGACCCCAACCCCAACATCTACCATCACTACCACCATCACTGAGACCACAACACCTACACCCACCACCACGACCACAGAAACCACAAGCCCACAGACCACCACCACGGTGACACCAACCCCAATATCCACCACCACACAGACCCCAACCCCAACATCTACCATCACTACTATCGTCACTGAGACCACAACACCTACACCCACCACCACGACCACAGAGACCACAAGCCCACAGACCACCACCACAGTGACACCAACCCCAATATCCACCACCACACAGACCCCAACCCCAACATCTACCATCACTACTATCGTCACTGAGACCACAACACCTACACCCACCACCACAACCACAGAGTCCCCAAGTCCAACGCCCACCACCACGGTGACACCAACCCCAATATCCACCACCACACAGACCCCAACCCCAACATCTACCATCACTACTATCTTCACTGAGACCACAACACCTACACCCACCACCACAACCACAGAGTCCCCAAGTCCAACGCCCACCACCACGGTGACACCAACCCCAATATCCACCACCACACAGACCCCAACCCCAACATCTACCATCACTACCACCATCACTGAGACCACAACACCTACACCCACCACCACAACCACAGAGTCCCCAAGTCCAACGCCCACCACCATGGTGACACCAACCCCAATATCCACCACCACACAGACCCCAACCCCAACATCTACCATCACTACTATCTTCACTGAGACCACAACACCTACACCCACCACCACAACTACAGAGTCCCCAAGTCCAACGCCCACCACCACGGTGACACCAACCCCAATATCCACCACCACACAGACCCCAACCCCAACATCTACCATCACTACTATCTTCACTGAGACCACAACACCTACACCCACCACCACGACCACAGAGACCACAAGCCCACAGACCACCACCACGGTGACACCAACCCCAATATTTACCACCACACAGACCCCAACCCCAACATCTACCATCACTACTATCGTCACTGAGACCACAACACCTACACCCACCACCACAACCACAGAGTCCCCAAGTCCAACGCCCACCACCACGGTGACACCAACCCCAATATCCACCACCACACAGACCCCAACCCCAACATCTACCATCACTACTATCGTCACTGAGACCACAACACCTACACCCACCACCACGACCACAGAGACCACAAGCCCACAGACCACCACCACAGTGACACCAACCCCAATATCCACCACCACACAGACCCCAACCCCAACATCTACCATCACTACTATCTCCACTGAGACCACAACACCTACACCCACCACCACGACCACAGAGTCCCCAAGTCCAACGCTCACCACCACGGTGACACGAACCCCAATACCCACCACCACACAGACCCCAACCCCAACATCTACCATCACTACTATCTTCACTGAGACCACAACGCCTACACCCACCACCACAACCACAGAGACCACAAGCCCACAGACCACCACCACGGTGACACCAACCCCAATATCCACCACCACACAGACTCCAACCCCAACATCTACCATCACTACTATCGTCACTGAGACCACAACACCTACACCCACCACCACAACCACAGAGTCCCCAAGTCCAACACCCACCCCCACGGTGACACCAACCCCAATATCCACCACCACACAGACCCCATCCCCAGGCTCTACCACTACACTCACCCCAACCCCATCCTCTACTGTAACTGCCCCTGTCACTGAGTCCACAGCTACAAGCACAGCCACTCCTGCTGCTACGAGCACTGTCTCCCCTACTCCCACTCCCACCAGCACTGGCACAGAGGTTCCCACCCCTACGGGCACAGTACCCACTACAGCGTCAACCGCGTCCACACCTGCAACTTCACCCTCCACCCCCGTGACCACTCAGTCAACCCCCTCCCTTTCCACGGAGTCCACCACCCTTCCCAGCACCCCTCTGACCACCAAGGAGCCTTCTAGCACCACAGCGTCACCCAGAACAACACCCCCTGTGGCCGCTGTGACTACGGGCAGCACTCCTGGACCTGAGGCCTCCACTTCGGGCACCACCCCACCCTCTTCAGGTAAGGAGACGCATCCCACCCTCCTCTCCCAGGAGAGCCGCCCTCTGCCAGGGAGCCTCACAGCTCTGGGCTGGCCCGGCTCAGTGCCTCGGGGGGCTGCCCTTGCTCTGCCCAGGAGGGTGGGCCCTGGGAAGGCCGAGGCTGGCTCTGCGTGCCTTTCCCTCTGAGCACCATCACTGAGTGCAGGGAGCCCCGACCATCATCTGTGCCTGGGCCGCGTGGGCAGAGCCCCTTGGCGAGCCTTGGGCTGTGTAGAACAAGGCCTGCCTGGGCCTCCCTGCCTGGGCCTCCCTGCCTGGGCCTCCCTGCCTGGGCCTCCCTGCCTGGGCCTTTGGAGCCTTGGCGTGGCAGAGGAGGCCAGAGGGGCCGGCACGCTCAGCCTGCAGCCCTGCAGCGCCTCCTGCAGCTCTGCTGCTGCCCTGAGCCTCGGCCTCCCCTGTAGTCCTCCCATGGCACACAGTGTGAGTGGTGGCTTCCAGAGCCTTGGTCTGCAGCCAGCCGGCCACCTTCCCCTCTGTGGTCCTGTTGTCGGGTCCCCGTGGCACCTAAGAGGAGTGACGGCCTCAGCTCACGACCTGTCCTTACAGGCACACCCATCTCGAAGACCACTCCCCACACTGTGCCGACAACCACCGTGGGGACTCCCACCAGGACAGGGCTCCCCTCTACCATGCCGACCACACGGGAGACCACCAGAACCTCGTCCTCCTGGGGGACCCTGGCCACGTCCACCCCGATCGAGTCCCCCAGCACCCCGTGGGAGATGAGCACTTCCACCACCTGCTGCGTGTTGAACGACACGTACTACATCCCAGGTGTGTTTGGCCGTCCACCCCCAACACTAGGCAGCCGAAGCTGGGTCTGATCCCTGTTTAATGTGACAGGTTAAGGACCAGGCAAGGTCCAAGCCAGGAACTTGCTCAGGAGGCGGGAGGATAAGGGTGGAATGGGACATCTGGCTGGAAAGAGGGACCAGGGTCCCTCAGCTCGTGAGCCTGGTCAGGGTGGTTGGTCCATTTTCTGTTGCCATGACAGACTACCTGACACTAGATCATTTTTAAACATTAGAGGTTTATTTGGCTCACGGTTCTAGAGGCTGGGAGGAGCGTGGTGTCAGCACCTGGTGAGGTCGTCTGTGCCTCCTGATGTGGCAGAGGGCATTCCCAGGCGAGCGGGGCAAGCAAGCTGGCTCCAGCCTTGTTCTCTTCTTCTAAAGCCACTAATACCACCCCAGGGCTCCACCCCGAGGACCCCATCTAAGCCTGGTCACCTCCCAGAGGCCCCTTCCCAACCCTGTAGCATGTGCCCAGGGACAGTCACACGGGCACCCCTGGGGCGCATGACTGTCTGGGCCCACAGCAGTACCTTCTCTGTCTTCCACGGGACCTGCGTCCTCTAAGGTGGCCACCCTGCCTCTGGGTGGCATGGGGACTGGACCTCTCTCTCCCCGCAGGTGACGTGGTGTACAACAACACCATCGGGGACACCTGCTACTATGTGAACTGCTCTGTTGACTGTGAGCTCCAGTACTTCAACTGGTCCTGCCCGTCCACGCCTTCCCCAACGCCCACATCCTCGGTGCCCACTCCGTCCTCGGTGGCCACGCCTTTGACACCCTCAACACCCAAGCCCTCCACGCCAGCGACCACATCCTCCCAGCCGACACCCGGCACCACCAAGCCCACTGGGTGCCTAGATTTCGATCCTCCGAGACAGGTCAGTGGGCCAGGGTGGCCTCGTTCCCTCGTGCCAGGGGTGTCCATGCGTCCGAGGCCTGAGGGGTCCGAGATGCTCCTCCCCCTCCCTGCACCATCTGCAGTGCAGGGTCCGCTGCAGCCCTTGGCCTTCTCCAGGCCTGGCCAGGTGGCTGGCCACCACGAGGCCCTGTTGCCGGCGGCCCCTCTGGGGTGGAGAGGACTGCCGTGCTGCCCACGTGCAGCCTGTTGACTCCCAGGGCCTCGTCCTGCAGGAGAACGAGACCTGGTGGCTGTGTAACTGCACCATGGCCATCTGCAAGCACGACAACGTGGTGGAGATCGTGGAGAAGGAGTGCCAGCCCCCGCCCATGCCCACCTGCTCCAATGGCCTCAAGCCTGTGCGCGTCCTGGACCCCGACGGCTGCTGCTGGCACTGGGAGTGTGACTGTAAGTCCCTCCCAGTCGCTCGGGGACTGCCTGCCACTCCCTCTCTGGTGGAGGGTGGCATGGCTGGTCTCCTGGGAGCACGCATGCCCTTGGGCGCAGAGTCCGAGGGCTGAGCACCTGCTGCAGGCTTGGCGCAGGGCCCAGGGACTTCTCGCACTCCTTCCTCCCCAGGTCTGGGGACCTCCCCAGAACGAGGAGGCCTTCCAGGTTAGAGGGGCCCCTCTGGCTCCACACCGAGGCCCTGTCCTGCGGAAGGGCCCTGTGGATGGTGGGGAGCCAGGTCCAGCCTGCTCTCACACCCAAGTGCACCAGGCTTTTCAGGCCTGCTCTCCCGACCTGACCCTGAATCCTGACTGTGACCCGTTGCGGTCCCCACCCCTGTCCGCCAGCTCACTGAGCTTCTTCTGCAGGCTACTGCACCGGCTGGGGGGACCCGCACTACGTCACCTTCGACGGCCTGTACTACAGCTACCAGGGCAACTGCACCTACGTGCTGGTGGAGGAGGTGACCCCGCAGGTGGAGAACTTTGGGGTCTACATCGACAACTACCACTGTGACGTCAACGACAAGGTGTCCTGCCCCCGCACACTCATCGTGCGCCACGAGACCCAGGAGGTGCTGATGCAAACCACGCAGATGATGCCCCTCAAAGTGCAGGTGCGTGGGGTGGGCCCGGCGAGTGTCCACAGTGGGCGAGCAGGCCGGGCTCTGAGCGAGGTCCCCACAGCAGAGGACGGCAGCGAGGGCCCTACCTAGCCTCCCCGGAGCCGGGCTGGAAGGTGGGATGGGGCGGGGTCTCCTGGGGACACAGCGTGCCTTCTCCAGGTGTGTTCAGGGACCCTGCGTCCCACCACTCAAGCCCCGCCCGGGCACAGGTCTCGGCAGAAGCTCCTCCCGGGGACAGGGCGGGTGGTCAGGGCTGCCCTCCTGCAGGTGCAGATGGGCCTCTGCGTCACACACGGCTCCCAGAGGTGACCGAGGCTGGGCAAGGCAGGCCTCTAGCTGGCTGCCCCCAGCTCCTGCCGGGGCGCCTGACCAGGAATGCTGGCTGCAGGTGCAGGTCAACAAGCAGGCGGTGGCCCTGCCCTACAAGAAGTACGGGCTGCAGGTCTACGAGTCAGGCATCAGCTTCGTGGTGGACATCCCCGAGCTGGGCGCTCTCATCTCCTACAATGGGCTGTCCTTCTCCGTCAGGCTGCCCTACCGCCTGTTTGGCAACAACACCAAGGGCCAGTGTGGTGAGCTCCGCAGCCCCCGCCCGCCCCACCTTGGGAGCTGGGGGCCTGTTCAAGCGGCGGGCATGGGCCTTCTGCCCCTCTGTTGGGGCGCTGTGGTGTGGTCCTGGGTTTGGTCCCTGTGGGGCGCCCACAGGAGGGGGCTGGCCACGAGGGACCTGGGCGGGGGGAGGGGTGGTCTCCCAGGGACGACCCTGGCCCCGACGGTCCAGGCTGGTGCTGGTGCGACGGGACCATCCTTGCCGCCACAGGCACCTGCACCAACAGCACTGCGGACGACTGTGTGCTGCCAAGTGGGGAGATCACCTCCAACTGCGAGGCCGCAGCTGACCAGTGGGTGGTGAATGATCCCTCCAAGCCACACTGTCCCCACGGCAGCTTCACCACCAGGCGCCCGGCCCTCACAACGCCAGGGGGCAGCCACTCCACACTGCCCAAGAACTGCACCACGTCTCCACTCTGCCAGCTCATCAAGGACAGGTGACCTGCCTGGGCCTGTCGGGCCTGGCCACTGGGCAGCTGTGGGCCCCAGGAAGCAGCCTAGCCTACCAGGAGGATGCGAGGCCCAGCCGAGCGGGGAGCTGGAGGGCTGAGCACGGTGCTGTCTGGCCCAAGTCAGGGCGCAGGCCCAGGCCCTGTTCCCACAGGCCAGCAGCGTTCCTGGGCACCCTGCTCTCCTGGCCTCCTGGGTGGTGCCAGCTTAGCTGCCCCAGAGGCCCTGGGTGGCCCAGCCGGCCGAGCACAGAGCTTGCACTCAGGGCTGACTCTGGGGGGCCAGGTTTGAGCTTAGATGGAAGGGGGCCTCCCGAGGCGGGCAGCAATGGAGAGGTCGGTGCGGGGTTGGGCTTCAGGGGGCCTTCCAGGGCTGCTGGGGAGGCTCAGGGCACCCAGCACTCCCCCTGGGGCCCAGTGGGTGTGGGTCTCCTGTCCTCCAGGCCGGTCCCTTCCGGCTGCTCCTGCTCCTGCTGTCAGCCACAGGCACCCCCTGATGGCCACAGGCTGAGCATGCCGGGGGCAGCCGGGGTGGGGGTGTGGGACAGGCGGGTGTGGTCACCTGGCCTGGAGCCGACCAGAGCGTTAACTCGCCCCGCAGCCTGTTCTCCCAGTGCCACGCCTCCCTGCCGCCCCAGCACTACTACGACGCCTGCGTGTTTGACAGCTGCTTCGTGCCTGGCTCTGGCCTGGAGTGCGCCAGTGTGCAGGCCTACGCGGCCCTCTGTGCCCAGCAGGGCGTCTGCATTGACTGGCGGGACCACACCCACGGGGCCTGCTGTAAGTGCCCCTGCCCCTGCCCCGCCCGGGGGGCCTGCAGGCCAGACGAGGCTCTCCAGATCTGCTGGTTGTGAAGCCTGGAGTTAGACCCAATGGGCTGAGCCAGGGCTGAGGCTGGGTCCCAAGGTGGGGAAGGACAGCCCGGAGGCCGGGTGTGGAGTTCTGCACCCAGCTGGGTCAGGGTTAGGGTGAGGTCGGTGGGTGTGGGCCTCCTGTCCTCCAGGCCTGTCCCTGCTGTCAGCCACAGGCACCCCTTGATGGCCACAGGCTGAGCATGCCGGGGGCAGCCGGGGTGGGGGTGTGGGACAGGCGGGTGTGGTCACCCGGCCTCCAAGCTGACCAGAGCGTGACCACGCCCCCCAGCCAGGCACCCACCAGGCACCCACCAGGGCAGGACAGGGGCCACAGCACTGAGTCATTGGCCACCTCTGCTGGTGTGGGGAGGTCCTGGTTGGGAGGGAGCGGGCAGCTGTCACTGGGGATGTGCCCTCCTGAGTGGCCCTCTGGTCCTTGCTTTCTACAGCTGTGACGTGCCCATCTCACAGGGAGTACCGGGCCTGTGGCCCCCCACAGGAGCCCACCTGCCAGTCCAGGTACGTAGTGTGACGAGTCCCCGACGCATGGGCTGGCAGGTGGCTCCCTCCCCATCCCACCGCCCTGAGCCAGAGGCCCCCCTGAGGATCCTCTTCCTTCAGCTCCTCCCCTCAGAACTCCAGCAGCCTGGTGGAGGGCTGCTACTGCCCCGAAGGCACCACGAGCTACGCCCCGGGCTTCGATGTCTGCGTGAAGACCTGCGGTATGCCACCCACCCCGCCCCTCCTCAGTGTCCATGGGGCTGGGCCCAGGGTGGACCCTGCTCCCTACAGTACCAAGCTGTGCTAACAGGTGTTTCCTTCCTCTTCCAGGCTGTGTGGGACCCGACAATGTGCCCAGAGAGGTAGGTCTTCCCCTTTGTGCTGGGGGTCTCCCAAAACCCCTGAATTTTGGGGAGTGGAGTGGGGTCCAGTGGACATGAGACTGAGTAATCACTCACTGAACCCTGGGATACTGATTTAGCAGGGACGCCCACACACTCATCCACTGTCCATTTCTTTGTCCGTCTGTCCATCCAAACATCTCTCCACCCACTTGTCCATCCACTCACCCACCTGTCCATCTGTCCATCCATCCATCCTCTTATCACCTGGTCATGGATTTATTCATCTGTCCATCATCCACACCCCCAGCCGACCCTCTCTCTGTGCATCCCCCTGCCTGCCCACCATCGTGTGGTCTGTCAGCACTGGGGTGACACATAGGCCACTGGGTGTGGTCTGCCTCCAGGGTAGGGTCATGGCCCTGAGGCTCACTCCTGGCTCAATTCTGCACAAACCTAAGTGATTTGAGAGGTGCCTTGGCCCCACACCAGGCCCGTGTTGGTGGGTGCTGGTGAGCAGGTCACGGCTGTGGATGGTAGCCTGGGGCCCCAAGAGAGCAGCTGCTGTCATTCCCAGAGCCTGGCCTGTGAGCCAGGGGTGGGCAGGGCAGGGATGTGGCTTCCCCTCAAGACCCCTTGGCCAGCTGCCTAGGACAGCCCTTTCCTGCTTGGCTGGCCACAGATGGGTCGCCCTGCAGCCCTGGCACGGTGGTGGGCGGGGCCTGGTGGGGCCCTTGGCTTCAGCAGCCCACGTGCTTCCTCCGCAGTTTGGGGAGCGGTTTGTGTTCGACTGCAAGGACTGCGTCTGCCTGGAGGGTGGCAGTGGCATCTTGTGCCAGCCCAAGCAATGCAGCCAGAGGGCTCCCGTCAAGTGTGAGGAGGACGGCACCTACCTCGTCACCGAGGTCGACCCTGCCGACACCTGCTGCAGCATCTCCCTGTGCAGTAAGGCCAGCCGGAGCGGGAGGCAGGACCCTGGGCCCCACTGTCATGCAGCGGGCACCCTGTGGGCAGCCCCTGCCCTGGGAGCTCAGGATGTGGCCATCCCAGAGGCTGTGGGGCTCCCCTGGACATCCCCCTGCAGGGGCTGGCCTGGGAGGGGTGAAGGGGAACCCCCCGGGGTGCAGGGGCCCTGTGCTATGTGGCAGGAGGTGGGGCTTTGCCGGTGGGAAGCACCCTCCTTAGGAGTCTGCATCCACCTTCAGAGTGCAACACCAGCCTGTGCAGAGAGGAGCCCCCCTCGTGCCCGCTAGGATTCCAGGTGAAGAGCAGGATGGTGGCCGGAAGGTGCTGCCCTGTCTACTCCTGTGGTACGTGAGGCTGGCTGGCGTGGCTGGGCTGTGCGGGAGGGCTGGCTACGGGAAGCGGCACCCTCGGGGGTCCTGTCTGTGGATATGTCCTGAGCTGGGGCTAGGCCAGGTGGCCACTCAGGACAGCCTCTGAGGGCCTCTCCTGCTCTCTCCCCAGTGCCCAAGGGTGTGTGTGTGCACCAGAACGCAGAGTACCAGGTGAGCCCTGGGCTGGCAGTGGGGAGGTGGAGGAGGGAGGGGAGGTTGCGGCCCTTGCTCCCCGTGGGTGGGGAGGGGTGTGGCCGGGGCCGGGCAGGTCCTCATCGCCTGCCTGTGCCCGCAGCCTGGCTCCCCAGTGTACTCCTCCAAGTGTCAGGACTGCGTGTGTACCCATGCCGTGGACAACAGCACCCAGCTCAATGTCGTCACCTGCACCCATGTGCCCTGCAACATCTCCTGTGACCCTGTAAGCCCCAGCTGCCCTCCTTCCCCACTCCTCAGGGCACCTCCTCCCCGCTCCCTGAGAAGCACACAGGCCCTGACGCTGCCACGCAGTTTGTCACACTTCCTCCGTGCTCTCCTTGCCCACTCCGTCCCCGCCTCTCCACCTTGGCACCTACCTGGACTGCAGCTTCTCCAGGCAGGCAACCCCAGCAGCCCCAGGTGCCTCTGGGGTGCAGGACAAGCCTGCAGCTGGGCCTGGGCCTTGTCTGTCCACAGGGCTTTGAACTTGTGGAGGCCCCTGGCCAGTGCTGCAAGAAGTGTGAGCAGACCCACTGCATCATCAACAGGCCCCAAAGCCAGTACCTCATCCTGAAGGTGCGCCAGGGACACCACCCACGGCTGGGAGGTTCCGCAGAGCGGGTGGGAGCAGAGAACAGGGGGACCCTGGCTCCGCTGGCCGAGTCCCCCAATTCTGGGTACAGCTGTGGACAAGGGTCCTGGGGCTGCTGCAGCAATGTACACAGTGCGGTGGCTTTAGCCAGCAGGACTCGATTCTCCCAGTTCTGGAGTGCCCAGCTCTGAGGTCCAGGCTCACAGGGCTGGGGAGGGGGAGCCACGGGGAGGCTCTGCCTCCGTCTCCAAGTGGCTCCTTCCCTGCGTCTGTCTCCTCCTCTGCCTCTCATAAGGATGCTGCCCCTGGCTTTGGGGCCACGCTAATCCAGGATGACCTTGTCTCAAGATCTTTTGTTTAGCTTCATCGTTAAGTGTCCTTCTCCCAAATGGGGCACTTCATAGGTCTGGGCACAGCTCCCTGGGATGGGGACAGAACCTTTTTGGTTATGTGGGCTGCAGGCAGGCGCCTGTCCCGAGACCCCTTGTCCACTTGCCTGGTGCTGCTGGGCCTGCAGCTGGTCTGGTCTGAAAAGCTGCTCTTGTCGTGTCCCCACTCTGTCCTGGTTTGTGTCTCTGGGCTGCAAGACCTTCCCACGTGTCCTCACTGATGCTCTCTGCCTGCAGCCCGGGGACATTCAGAGCAACCCCAACAACAAGTGCATGTTCTACAGCTGCATGAAGGTCCACAACCAGCTCATCTCATCCGTCTCCAACATCTCCTGCCCTGACTTTGACCCCAGCCGCTGTGTCCCAGTGAGTGGGCCCCTGGGGCGTGGGTCTACCATGCTCTGCCCAGAGTGGGGCCCCCAGTGTTCCTGAATGGCTGGTCCAGTGCTGGGACCTGGCCTCAGGCCTGGCTGCAGCTGCCCAGGAGGCTTTGTCCTGGGCTCCTGCAGGAACCACCCCTTCCCAACCCCGGGTCAGGAAGGGGGTGCCCATCCACTCGGGAAGTCTGGGGGACCCGGGCTCATTCTCCTTTCCCCCCAGGGCTCTATCACACTGATGCCCAATGGATGCTGCCAGAGATGTGAGTACCGTCTGGCAGGCACGGCCTGGTGGGTGGGTGCCACAGAGCCCCTGGAGGGAGGAAGGTAGAGAGGAGGGTGCCCCAGAGCCTGTGCCTGCTGTGCCGTCCTCTCTCACACTATGCCCAGGAAGAGGCAGGAGGGAGCTGCAGGCTGAGGGCTGCCCCTGGGGGATCGGTGGCGCCAGGTTGGGGGCTGCTGTACTTGGGCAGAGGAGAGGAAGTGAGAGCTGTGTGAGACCCCTGCCCCTTGGCCTCCTCCCAGGCATCCCTCTCAACGAGACCAGGGTCCCCTGCGCCACCATCCCAGTAATCAGGGAGATCTCAAGGGCCGGCTGCACCAAGAATGTCACCATGAACTACTGCTCCGGGTCCTGCGGGACTTTCGCCATGTGAGTCCCAGGCTAAGCCTGTGCCTGGTGGGGAGCCCGGGGGAGTCCAAAGAGAGGCCCGGGGGCGGGGAGGCGGCCCCTCACCCGGTCCTCGCCCCCAGGTACTCGGTGCACGCCCAGGCCCTGGACCACAGGTGCTCTTGCTGCAAGGAGGAGAGGACCAGCGAGCGCGAGGTGGTGCTGGACTGCCCCAACGGCGGCACGCTGGCTCACACCTACACGCACATCGAGAGCTGCCTGTGCCAGGACTCCGTGTGCGGGCTCCCGCTGGCGCAGCAGAGCCGCGTCCGCCGCTCCAGCCCCCGGCTCCTAGGGAGGGCGTGAGCCGGGAGGCGCTGCCCCCGCGCTGACCTGCCTCGCCCCTTCGCCCCTGAGCTTGGATTCCTCTCTGCGGATATTTATTTTCTGAGTCTCTGTTAGATCTTTTGCTTTCTTGATAATAAACTCAGGCAGAGATGCTGTACTGGTGTGGTCTGAGTTGATGCCCGTTGGCCACTGGTCCGCAGGGTCCAGGGGTGTGGGGGTGGGGTGCCTCAGAGAGGACCCTGGGCCCCCCACCGGTCCGGCCACCAGTGTGCACACAGGACCCAGGGATCCTGGCCTTGCCCAGTACTGCCCAGAAAAACCAGCCCCAAGCTCTCTGCATGTGCAAGCCCTGGCTGGGCAGCTTGACCTCAGGCCTGTGAGACGGTCCCAGGGTCTTTCATGGCCGTTTCCCAGGCTTTCTGCTGCTGGGGTGATTTTAGTCCAGCACGAGCTGTGGGGTCAGTGTGTGCCTGTGTGTGTGGATCTCTCTGGGTTTCTACCCCGCAAAAGCCAAGAGAATCAGCTCCCGCTGCAAACTGGCCAGAAGTGGCCGTGGCTGGCTGGCCAGGGTTGCAGGCAGCTTCCAGGCAGAGCCCGCCAGGCCTCCCACTGGCCTGAAGGCACAGTGGACGGCTGGCCACGCGTACGTGTGTGACCTCAGACACAGTGCCCTCACGTGTTTGGGAGCTGAGGCCCTGGCTGTCTGGGACTCATGGAGGCTGGTGGAGGCTGCCCATCTGTAGGTGCGTGCAGAGAAGCCCCTACCTCCTCTCTCAAGGCAGCAGGCAGTGTTGGGGGAGCCCCAGGTGTCCCGGAGGAGGCCAGAGCCCCAGCACCCAGTCTCACTGCGGAGCCTTGCTGCAGTGCCCTCGGGGCGCACGGCACCTGTGCGGGGTCCACAGCTGCCAGCCAGAGGCCAGAGCCCCTCTTCCTTCTCTCCACTCGAGGCCTCCTCGGGGCTGGGCCGAGACAGCTGCCCTCCCAGGCTGTCCCACCTCTGCCCGGTTCCCTCCCCACCTGACCTCTGGACCCCAGGGAGGGCAGCAGCTGTGTGGCAGGGGCAGTGGGCTGAGGGCCTGTCAGGGTGCCCATGCCTTGGTGTCTCCCTGGTCCTGGAGGCTGCTCAGGTGTGGCAGTCTTCCCAGTGCCCCAGCTGTCCTTGCCAGCCCCCTCTGGGGACCCAGAGCCCGCAGTGTCTAGGCCTACGGACTTCTTGGGAAGCCAGAGGGCCTGGGCCCACCCTAGAGCCACTGGGTCCTCTGGCAGAGCAGATGTGCTGAGGGGACGTGGGCTGGCCACCTCTGGCATGGCCATGCGGGGCCTGGTGCTTCAGAGCCAGTGCTTCCATGAAGTCTTCAAGGCCCGAGTCCCAAAGCCACTCCACGCCCCGTCTGGTGCTGGAGGGCAGGGGCCCTGAGCAGTCGTGTGTGGCCCGTCCTGGCAATGTGTCACTTCTCTGCCAGAGTGTGCCCTGATGGCAGCCCCAGGATGGCGGTGACCTGCAGGGTGGGATAGGCTGCTGTGGACAGAGCCCTGGTCAGGAAGAGGAGGAAGGTGCTGGCAGGTCCCTGGATCTATCTCTGGGCCTGCCGCTGTGAAGCGGGTGCTCCAGGGGCCACCGAATGGGTGAGGGTGCAGCTGGGCCCCTGCCTGCCCTTCCGTGCTGAACCCTTCATAAAGGGACTCCACCCCAGAGCAGCCCACTCCTTCCCAGAACAGGCCCCTGACCAACCTAGGCCATAAAACCCCCGGACATTAAACTCAACCTCACACAAAAGGCGTTAGCCAGCCACCATGGAACTAAGGTAGACAGTAACAACACAGGCGACTGGAAGATCCCCCTAAATTTGGGAATTGGGACACACACTTGTTTTTTGTTTGCGGTGCTGGTGACAGCACCCAGGCTAGGCGATCACTTACCACTGAGCAACACCCCAGCCTCTGGGACACACACTAAATAACCCACGGGTCAAAGAGGAGGCTCAAGAGAAGTTAGGAAATGTTTTAAATAGACTAAAAATGAAAGCAAAACTTATCAAAAAGTATTCCTTAGACCTTCACAGCGTGTTTTCTTGTGTTGGTGAGAGGGAAGTCTCGATGGCCCATGTTCTACCTCAACACTCTAGCGGAAGACGAGCAGGTGGAGCTGGAACAAATGAGGCTAACACACCCGTCCAGGGGCCTCCGGGAGCACCCACTTCACGGCTTCAAACCCCAGACTCCAGGCACACAGAACCGAACGGGTAGAATCAGTGAAATGGAAAACTGGCTCCTTGAAGAGATAGAAGTAAAACCGAATGAACCTCATCAAGGAGGATCATGCAAAAAAGAACGAGGACTATACACAGACGAAGCGTGGGACAGGGCTACACATCCCACAGACCTCTCAAGGACTCAGAGGGGAAAGGGAGACCATGGTGCTAATGGGGTTGACAACTTGATGAGGCAGACACGTCCCTCCACAGAAACAAGTTCACAAAACTGACCCAAGAAGAAACAGGAATCAGCCCCATCTTGTCTTAGAAACCGAATCCATCACCTGCAGGCCTTCCTCAGGACGCCTTATCTGTGATTCTGTAAATATTTAGAGAAGAAATAGCACCAACCCCATTTAAACTCTTCCAGAACATAAGTGAGAAGGGAGCACTGTTAACCACTGAGCCCCATCCCCAGCCCTCTTTATGTTTTGTATTTGGAGACAGGGCCTTGCTAAGTTGCTGAGGCTGGCTTTGAACCCATGATGCTCCGGCCTCAGCCTCCTGAGCTGCTGAGGGAAACATCTCTCAACCCATCTTGCAGGTTTGCATCTCTCCAGATTCCAGAAGCAGTGATGTGGTGAGAAACAGCTGTCGGTGCCTGCCAGGAGCAGAGATACAGAGCCCAGAGAGGAATGTTGTGAGGCCGTCCGGCAGCACGTCCCAGGAAGGGGTGGCCAGGGCGACTCTCCTGTCAACACAGCACAGGAGAAAAGCAAAGTTAGAGGAGAAGGACTGCGCAGCCCTGAGGACCAGCAAGACAGCTGGGGGACCATGGACCACAGAGCGGGAGGGCCACCCAGGGGTGCAGAAGACAAAGTGTGTGGGTAGGTGGCCCCGCAGAGCCCACAGAGCCCCCACCAACGAGCTCCGCCTGCAGGAGCCTATCGTGTGTCTAGGTAAAGGGATCAAGTCAAAGCAAACAACTCCACTTACAATAGTATCAAAAACACAACCCGTGGGAAGACATTTAACAAGATGGTGCAAGAAACGTGAACTGAAGGCCACAACACATCCCAAAGCTAAATTTAAAAAGACTTAAATAAGAGGAGACATAGGCCAAGTTCATGGGCAAGAAGGTTTGATATTGGTGAGATAGCTGCCTTCTTTGAATCTACCTGAAGAGTCACGAAATACCCATACAATCCCTCACGGTCCTTTTGGAAGCAATTGGCAAGCTACTTTTGTCTTATTATTATTATTATTATTAGTTTTCTCTCTTTTTCCGTATTTTAAACAGGTGCATGGTACTTGTATAGGTTGTTGTTGGAGGTTCGATATGTGATGTCCACACACACAATGCAGCAGCATGGCCTGGCCAGTGTCCCTCCCCTGCACTCCCCCTTCCTCCCTTCCCCCCACCCCTGGTCCTTTCCTCTGCTGACCTTCCTTTGATTTTCATGAGATACACCCACGGTCTCTTCTCCTTTTTCCTCTCGAGCCTCTGCTATGAGAGAAAACACATGACCCTTGACCTGAGTCTGGCTTATTTCACGTAACACAATGCTCTCAAGCTCCCTCCATGTTCCTGCACATGCCGTAATTTCCTCCTTCTTTGTGGCTGACTAAAACTCCACTGTGCATGTCCACCACATTTTCTTTATCCACCCGTCCATCGAGGGACACCTAGGCTGGCTCCGTCGTCTGGTGGCTGTGAATGGTGCTGCTATAAACGTGGTGTGTGTGTGTCACTGTAGTAAGATGACTTTAACTCCTCAGGGTCAATACCGAGGAGTGGGACAGCTGGGTCACATGGAGGTTCCCTGCCTGGTCTTTTGAGGAGCCTCCCTACTGATTTCCACGGGGGTCGTGCTAATTCACAGTCCCACCAACAGTGTAAAGGGTTCCTCTCCCCGCATCCTCCAGCACGTGTTGTTCACACCCTGATGGCTGCCCTCCTGACGGGTGTGGGACACAGCTCACTGTGGTTGTGAGTTGCATTTCCCTAATTGTTAATGATGTTGAACATTTTCCATGATTTGTTGCCCATTTGAACTACTTCTTTTGGGAAGTGTCTGTTTAGCTCATTTGCCAATTTATTAATTGGGTTACGTGGTTATTCAGCTTTCAGTTTTCTGAGTTCTTTTTAGTTTTCTAGATATCAATCCTCTGTCAGCAGAGTAGTTGGCAAATACAAGTGGGAAGCTGCATCCTGTGTCCAGAGGGCACCAGAAGTCTTGTGGCCCATTGCAGCGGGATGGACAAAGCGTGGGCCTAGGCCTTCATGGGGCTCTCATAAAGGTGGTACCTGTACCAGTTGGCTGGTAAGTTCATGAAAAGATGCTTAGCGTTAGGACCTGCCCAGTAATCGCAGGGAAAGCCACGGGGCGAGGCAGCTGGGAGCGTGGAGCGCTCCTGTGCCTCAAGGCCATGGCCGTGTCCAGCCAGGAGTTTACCAGGAAGGGAGCCCAAGCCACACGGCTGGTCCATGAATGCTGAAGGCAGCCGCGTTCAAAACTCCCAGACCCAGGAGCAACCTGGGGCCCGAGGCAGCGAGGTCTGCGACGATGCGTGCTCAGCCACGGGAAGGAGCCAGGGCCAGGGCGGCCGGCAGGGGCCTCGCGGCGTCATACTGCGGGAGGACACGAGGAAGACTGCGGGGTCTACACTTAGGCAGTTGCGTGGGTAGAATCACAGAGACGGAGGCCACGTGACACCTAGGACCAGGGAATGGACTGCCGGTGGCACAGATGAGCTCTTTAGGTCCCTTGCCTTGTGTGTGGTGCCGGTAACACAATTGCATGCCATCACTAACCTCATAACACCACACTCCCCAGTGGAGCGTCCTGTTGGGTGTACGCACAATCGCATAAGAGTAAGAATAAGGCAAGCCTAGCTCCTGGGACAACCACGCTCTTCAGCTCCTGTCTGCAGTCGGCCCCTGGGCTGGCTCAGCGGCCATCCCCACTGTCCCCTGTGGGTCTGTCCCAAGGCCTGGCGGCAACAGCTGGGAGCTGGAGCCACGTCCTCCCCATGTCCAGCAGGGCCAGGGCTCAGGTGGCCTGCACAGGGCATGCACAGGGCTGTGTGGGTTCCGGGGCAGCTGGAGCATAGGAGCACAGGATCCGCGGCTTAAGACAGCACGAGTTCGTTCCCAGGCCCTGGAAGCCAGAGCCGAGCCGAGGTCTCCCCAGGACTGCCCTGCTCTGGAGGCTCAGGGGGGTGCTTCCCGCCTCCAGCTTCTGCAGCCCCAGGTGCTCCGTGGCTGTGGCCACGTGGCCCCAAGCTCTGCCTCTGTCTCTGCAGGAAATCCTCCTTTGTGCGTCTCTTATAAAGACTGTCCTTGGGTTCAGAATGATCTTACCTTGAGATCCTTCTTAATCACATCTGAAAAGACACTTTTTCCAAAGAGTGTCACATTTAGGGGTTCCAGGGAAGAGGACATGGACAGATATTTTTGGGGGCCACCATTTGGCCCATGACCACAGCCAAGCCAGACCCGTATGGTCGTGGGTGTGGGTGCAAGTGTGAGCAGCTGGGGGCCGGTGTGACTGGAGGCCTGACGGCGCTCGTCTTACCCAGACTCTTCCAGATGGCTGACTGGAAGAGTAGGGAAAGTGGGAGCGCTTAGCCATCTTGTTTTTGAGACTAGTATAATCTCGATGCCAAAGGTCGTCTCTGAGATCAGCACAAGGGAGAACATTGCAGCTGAATCTCACTTCTTCACACAGCGCTGCCTGGCGAGGGAGTGTACCGGCATGTGGGATCCCAAGCTGCGGCCAGGGGCCGACTGGGCCACGCTCCTCCTGCCCTTCTCTACTGCACCCCAGGAGGGTGGGACGGCATAAAAGACCGCCATCTCTGAACATGGCGACAGAAGTGCACACCCAGCTCTTCTCTCTCCCCTTCTCTGGGGCTTCGCCCACCTTGCGTGTGCCTGTCCCCATGTCCCCTTGGGCGGGGTTTGTCTGGGTCTAGGGCTGCCTGTGGCTGGAGGCTGGCCTCGCTGGTTCAGGGGTTCAGAGTAAGAAGCACATGTACCCACAAGCACAGCCTAGCACTGGGCAGAATTAGTGGCCCTGGGCTGGTCCTGCCAGAGATGCCAGCTCCTTCACTTGGTCAGACACTCAGGTAGACTGGGGGTGGCTGCGTGCAAAGCCCCTCCCACTCTCCCATCCAAGACATCGGCAATAGGGCTTCTCTCATGGAATTCAGGGATGATTCAACCACAGAAAACTGGCTATCTTAGGAACTGGTCAGGATGGGCCCTGCGGTGCCAGAGGGGACAGAGGCTGCCTAGTCCTGGGGCTTGTGACAGTCAAGGTCTCCTCAGGCATCCTGAAGCTACAGCTTGGCTGGCGCCTGCTCCACATCTGTGTCCGGGACCCAGGCAATGAGGCCACTCTCACCTCCCAGGTGGCCATCAGTCCTGGTAGAGAAAGCCACCCAGTGGGTCTTCCCAGTGTCCAGGACCCAGAGTGGTCCAGCACTGGCTGTGGCCCTGGGCGCAGGGATGGCAATACCTCCACTGGGCAGCAGAGGGAACCAGAGACACTTGGTGGCTCCTGAAGTTTCAGGAATGTCACAGGACATTTGAGGAAATAAGTTTTATTGGGTACATTTGAGGTTTGCAGCATGATGCCATGGGATGCAAACACTAAAACGTCACCATAGTGAAGTAGACTGACACATCTATCATCTCACACATTTTTTGGGTGTGGCAGGAGCTACTAAATATACTTGTGCATTTATTTTTAAGTTAAATGTAATTTAATTTTTATTTTTGAGACGGATCTTGCTAAGTTGTCTAGGCTGACCTCAGATTTATGATCCTGGGGTGGCAGTGAGTGTCACTGGGCCTGGCTGACAGGTGTGTTTAACCTAATCCCCAGGACAATGCCTCAGGCTCCCAGGGGGAAGCTTGCGGTCCTCTGCCCTGCGCTGATCTTAGTGGAGGCAAAACAGGACCAAGGGACCCACAGGGGGAGCAGGCGTCCCTCACAGGAGGAGGGGCCTCTTCCAAGGATTCACAGCGACACGGGCTCCCTGGGGCCTCTGCCCTTCCCAAGGCAGTTGGGAACAGGTCGCTGCAGCCGTGTGCTCTCAGTCTTTGCTAAGGGCAATAAAGCAAGAAGAGAGGCGACGGACCTCAGGACGGGAAGGAGAGGGTCTGTCTGAGGCTCTGCTGTGGAGGCAGTAAGAGGGCTGGCATGGGCCCAGTGAGACTCATGGAGGAGAACCAGCCCACCAAACAGAAGGCCCATCTATCTTCACCAGTGCGCCAAGTGCAAGTGTGATGGGGAAACCACCAAGAGAGCCGCAAAACCCGAGCAGACCCCAGGAGTGAGCCAGACCCCGCGTCCTGAGAAGACCCGAGGCCTTGCTGGGAGGGGCGGGGTTCGGCCTCGGAACCTGAGGTCGGGTTCTGTGGCCAGCTCCAGGGACCCGGTGAGACGTCTTCACGGCCCCTGTCTTCCCTGGGGCTTGGCAGCTGGTCCAAAAGTCTGCGAGGAGCCCGAGGGTGTGGAAGAGCAAGGCGCAGGCGTGCCCCAGGCAGCTGGCCCAGGCGCAGGGTCAGGAGCCGGTCCACACGGAGAGCACGCCGCTGTCCTAAGGACCAGGCCCTCTAAACAGTGAACTGTGAAAACGAGACCGCGGAACCCCGAGAGAAACACGCAGTGTCCACGTGTGGCCTTGGGGCCAGGAGGGCTGGCAGGAGGCCCCGCTGAGGGGTTGCTGCAGAGCGAGGGGCACTCACCCGCCAGCCCCGGGGTCAGTGCCCTCTCGCACAGCCGCCGTCTTCTCAGGACGGCCTGACGTCGCCACTTGCCTCTTGGGGCTCTGCACAGGTTGCGTGGCTGTTTTAGTGGGGTTTTGTTCCATCCTGCTTCCAGCTTGGGTTTTCTGCTGTAAATACAAGCTTTTTTTTCATTGACCTTGCACCGTGTCTCTTCCTGCTTTCCGGCCGTGCTGTGAGGCAGCTGGGGCCGCATCAGAGGCAGAACAGATGCAGCTGCTTGATCTTGGACTTCAGCCTCCAAAACTGTGAGCTAAACCCCTTTTCTTTCTTTATAAAGTTCCTACCCAGCATTGGGTATTTTGTTGTAGCATCTGAAAGTAGACTGAGACCTGGAATCACTAAAACCACAAGTCATTAGAGACTGATGCATTTGACTATGTTACACTGGAGAAATTGTGTTTGAAAACCATCAATGTGATGAGGTAAAAATATAAGCCAGGAAGTGAAAAAAGATGATTTCCACGTGTTCTGTGATTATTGACGACCAGTGTCCAGAGTGTCTTGTGTTACTCAGTTTCCACCACTGCAACAGAATATTCCAGATAATCAACTTAATGAGGGAAAAGGTTTGTTTTGACTGACTTGCGGTTTCAGGTTTCCACGGTCACCTGGGAAGCATGCGCATCATGGCAGAAGTGGGTGGCGGAGGAGACTTTTCCCAGTGGTGGCGGGAAGCAAAGGGGGCGCAGGAAGGGGGTGAGGGCTCCCTTCGGGGCTCACCTCTAAAGAGTGACCGACTCTCTCCAGCAGGCCCCACCCACAAAGGCCCCACCACCTCCCCATAGCTCACAGGCGCCTGGTGGCCCCCCTCCTGTGGACAGTGGACGCCTATCCTATCCCGCCATCACCTGGGAACACAAGTGGCCAGCAGCAGAGCCAACCCGTCGAGTCCACACGTCTCCGGCTCCTGGAGGCGCTGCAGAGCGCCCAAGCTCGGGCACAGTGGCCCCTGCGGACTCGGCCGGCCTGCGCAGTGACCCCTTTCCAATACTAATGTGGCAGGCGCGTGAAGATGTCTGAGGACCTCCTTGCCTCCGCAGAGGACGGGCGGGGTGCCCCATCTTTGCTGGGACCTCTGATTTACCAAAGGAAAACTGGCGGTGTGCTAATGTGGTGAGTGCTGCGTGGTCAGTAGGTGGGGTGCGTGCTGCCCTCCTCTGTTCCTTGGGGTGCTTGAGACGGCTCATCTTGAAAAGCCTGGGCCACGGGCGCTGCAGCCACGCGGCTGGAGCGCCGAGCCCCCCCCACCTGGGCAAGGGCCTGTCGCTCTCTGGGCCCTGGTTCCCCTGAGGACGACTCCCCCCTGGACTGAGCCATCCTGGCTGAGGCCCTGGCCAGTGACCAGATGCCAGATCCGAGCACCTTGCCCCTGGAGTGGTGTGACTGGCCCCTAGAGCCTCTGCGGGGCCAGGCAGACCTTGGAGAGGAGGCCCAGGAAGGCTTACAGGATGGACAGTGTCCAGTTGGGACCTACCTGGCAGGATCCCGCCGGCCACCCTGGCCTCCCACTCTGCTCTGGTGGACTGATGCGGCTGCCCGGGTCTCCTGCACGACGTCTGCATCTTGGAGCCTCCCCCCTGGGCTGGGAGACAGGTTCTTAGGGGGGATAAAGCTGAGGGGGCACGGGGGTGGTGTAATCCCACACCAAGGTGTTCTGCTAAGAAGGGAGAACAGGGCAGGCCCAGGACCCGGCAAGGACCCAGGGAGAAGATTCAGCCCGAGGCCCCTTGATCTGCGACCTCCAGCCCTGGGTGTGGGGCAATGGACTCTGGAAGCACTGGTCAGTACTGCCTCAGCGTCCAGGGCCGACTTCTGCACCGTGGAGCTTGCTAGTTGCTGCTGTTGGCATTCCCGTCCACTCCTCCGGAGACTGGGCGGAGCAGGGGTGTGGATCAGCCTTGCTCCCCTCCCTGACATCCAAGCCACGGTCTCAGGAGTTGACTCTTGCCTTAATCTAATGTGGACGGGTCAGCAGAGCCCTAGGCTGCTGGCTCGGGGGACCCTGCTATGACCTCAGAGGATGATGGCCTTCACGCCCTGGACAGCAGAGGCTGCCTGGATGCACAGCATTACTCCTGAGCTCCGCAAGTTCCCAGCTTCCAGTCTCAGGGTGCTGACCACCTGCTGGGCAGCCAGCCGGTAGAGCCACCCTGCCTCCCTCTCCCCTCCCTCTGCTTCCTGGCAGTTTTCAGCCTGAACCAAGCCCACCCTGCCCTTGCACAGCATTTGGGCATTTCCCCGGCCTCCTCCGGGTGGGCGGCCCATCTGCCCAGGCCAGCAAGAGCGGTCCTGGTCCTGGGCTGAAGGGGCTCCTCCCTGCGTCCTCTCATCTCAGGGGCTGCCACTGAGCCATCCTGTGGGCCCTGAAACCCTGCTTAACATGGCCAGTGAGTCACCCAGGTGTCCTCACACTCCCTGGGCAGGGGAGGTGGCTCTGTGGCCCAACGTCACAAGAGCAGCCTGGCTGCTGCTCTGCAGGGTGGGCAGTGAACCAAGAGCCTGTGTCCCCCAGGGCTCTGACATGTGGCTTCAGGGGCCTCCAGGGAGAGACGGGCACCCAAGCCTGGCTCACCACTTGGTCTGGCTGCCCTCATTGACTCTGAGGCCCTTGCAATGCCACGGCCTAAGTGACTGGCCTCAGTCTGGGCTTAGAAACAGGAGCCACACGGGTCAGTTGGCCAGGCACAGCCCCCGACCAGTTGCCCTCACCAGGGGATGAGGCAGGCTGCCCACATGGACAGCAGGACAGTCAGTCACAGAATAAGTTGGTGTGGCCTGCACCAAGGCCCTGTTGGCCCCTGTGCTTATGGGTACCTGTCCCCCATGCCGCCCAGTGTCCCCACACCTCACACGAAGACCAAAAGCCCCAGTGCCACCTGGACACCAGCCTGAGCCATCCTGACCCAGCCCACATGGTGGCAGGCCTCAGGCCCTGCCTGAGAAGTAGCCCAGGATGGGGGTCTCTGGTGGTGGGCAGAGCGTGCGCTGTGCAGAGTGCAGCTCCCCAGAGCCTCCGACCCACGGCACGGGGCCCAAGCAGAGCCCGGAGCAGGACGGCCACCCTCTGCCAGACGTAGGCACCTCGGGGCCTTCCTGGCCAGGTGTCGGGGGATGGCCACGCTCCAGGCCACGGAAGTTTACCCAGCGATGGAAAGGACTTCCTGTGCGCCTTCCCGCGTGAGCTGTGGTCAACTCACTGATAAGCCAGATAAGCGTGTGCCAGGGGTGCAGGGTGCCATCTGGGGCTGGTTACCCCCCGCCCCACCGCTGGTGCGGCTGTCCCTCTCCTGCCACTTCCCCGGTGGCTGTGACAGGGAAGTGGCAACTCCACAGTGACCATGTGGCCCGTGTGGCCCAGTCCCAGCCCTGCCCGGGAGCCCATGGGAGCTCTTCCCCAGGTGCAGGGCGGAGAGGCCCCCAGGAGCAGCCGGAGGGCATCTGAAGGCAGAGGCAGCTCCCCCCCACCCCAGTTGCCTGTGTGGTGCTGGGTGCAGGGCCCAATGCCAGTGTGCGGTGGCTCCCGTGGCCGCCTTCTTACCCGGCCTCTTCTGAGGGCGGCTGAACTTCCCGGAGGTGTCTTCCTGCCCTGCCTGCGGACGCTGCAGAGCCTCTCAGACGTGCTCCCGTGTGGGGTCCTCCCTGGATGCCTGCTGGAGCATCGGTTTTGAGTCTCCCAGGCCAGCACCTTGCCTGGACTTCAGGCCTGGGCTCAAAGTTCTTTCAGCGCTTTAACAATGTCACTGCTCAGCCAGGTGTGGTGGCCACGTCTGTCATTCCAGGGACTCGGGAGGCTAAGGCATGAGGCTTGTAAGTTGAAGGCCAGCCTCAGCAACTGGCAACTTAGTGAGGCCCTAAATTAATAAATTGAAAGGGCTGGGATGTAGCATAGTGGTAAAGCATCCCTGGGTTCAGTCCCCAACACCAAACAAGTGAACGAATGAATGAGTGAATAAGTAAATAAATAAAAATAAGTAATAAATAAAACAATTTCCAATTGTGGCAAAATCACACAGCAAGCTTCCCCTTTAACCACTTTGCCTACCATTCTGTGTGCGCAGCACCCCTGCCCCAAGTGACCGTCCCCGTCCACCCAGAACCCAGGGAGGGACTGCCTTCTGTGTCCACACACTCGTTGCTGCCTCCTCCTGGCTGCTGTGGACGTGGGCAGCAGGTGCGGCAGTCCTCATCTGCAGCTGTCTCTGTTTTGATGTCTCTCTGTCTCTGTCTCCGCTGTGGTCTCTCCTCCTGGCTGTCTCTGCATTGTGTCTCCCTCTCCATCTCTCTCTCTCTGCTTCTCGTCCCTGAGGTCCGTCTTGCCTGGGGTCCCTCCTTCCTGCAGGGTTGGTGTGGGTGGGGGCTGTGGCGTCCTGTGCTCCCCGCGGGTTGAGGGAGCAGAGTCCCCCAGGTGGCCTCGCTGTGCAGGAGGGCGGGGTTGTGAGAGCTGTGGGCAGCCCCGACCCGTGTCACCCCCTGTGGCATAGTCGGAGCCCCATCACATTCTGGAGGTCTGGCACGAGCCCCACTCTGCTGACCACAGTGTCGGGCCCAAGGCCTTCAGCCGGCTCTCAGTGGACAGGCTAGAGGCTTTTGGGGAATTTCATCCCTGGGTGAATTCAGCCAGGGCCAGGCACTGGACCTGACCCCCGACTGTCCTACATACAGAACCTGCTGGGCCCTGTGGTGCCTTGGAGAGAGACTGGTTGGGCAGGCTCCCCACCCGCCACCCTCTCTGATGGGTCTGGGGCATGGCTCACCTGTCTCCTCGGGGGACAGAGCCGCTTGTCTCTCTGGTCTGCTAACTGCCCCCGCCATGCAGGTGCAGGGGACACCAGAGGTGCAGGTAGCCCTTGGGCTCTTGTGCTCTCCTTTGCCGCCTTGGTCGGTGGAGAAGCCAGGGGCTGAGCCACACTCGGGCAGCCACTGGGAGGTGCTGCTGCGGCCTGCACGGAGTCCCCACGGGGGCCTGGGCCTCCTCCAGGCCAGGCTGTCTGGCACGCTCTGGAGGCTGCCTGCCTGGCCCCCAGGGTACGTGGAGGTTCACTGGGCTGCTCTGGACAACGGGGGGGGGGTAGGCTGGGCCACCGGAGGTGGTGAGACCCCAGAACCCAGGCCGGCCCATGGAGTGGGTCCCGAGCCCTAGGTTCAAATCCCAGCCCACTGTCCCCACGCCTGTCCTCACCCCAAATCAGGCCTGTAGCAGCTCCGTGCAGGCAGCAGCCAGTTCAGCAGGTGCCCTGCACCCCGAGTCCCAGAGCCTGGTTGGTGGGTGAACAGCGTGGGAGAGGGGAAGCTCAAGGCGCTGACAGAGACTGGACCCGGAAGCTGCAGAGGAGGGAGGGTCCCTTGAGCCGTGCCCCACTGGAGGCCAGCCCTGGCCCAGCCCCCACCTCAGGTAAATGGCCGAGGAACAGGGCCCAGTGTTTGGGGATTGTTGAGGACAAGGAGCAGCACCCTGGGGCATGTCCCTCACAGATGTGTCAGAGGGACACCCCTCCCTGAGGTACTTTGTGCAGGGTCAGCAGGAATGCAGAGACCTAGGGCCAGTTCCCACAGACCAGCTTGTACCACTCACCCCTGGCCAGCACAAGTGTGCACCGAGGCCTCGTGGGGGCCGAGAAGGGGGAGGCCCGGTGTAAAGGCTGCTGTGGTGTCACTGGTCATCCACAACCTTCCTCCTCCTGGGGTGGACAGGGTTGGCAATGCAGGGTCCAGTAGGGGCAGGCAGGGCTTCCAGGCAGCTCCCAGGGCTGGGCATAGAGTGGACCCCAGGCACATTCCAGGAATGGAGCAGGGTCGGGGCTGGTGGAGGAGGGCGGTGAGGCTATAAGGGAGGAGGATGGTGGGTGGCCAGGGTGAGGGCCACTGGGTGTCCAGCTGAGTGGGACCAATCAGGGGAGGGAAATGGGGAAGCCCATGATTCTGGAAGAATCTGCCAGGGGCTGAGAGAAAGAAGGTGGGGTGGCAGGGGCTGGAGAGAGCTGCCAGGGGCCACTGGGTGCAGCCAGGCCTGGGCCCTCCCTGAGGGGCTCTGAGCGTCCAGCATGGGGAGGCTCCGGTGGACCCCAGCGCTGGCTCTGGGGTGGGGCTCTGGGTGGGGGGGCCTCCTGGGTGCTCAAGGGAGACTGCACTGAGTTCCAGTGCAGGTGGGAAGCTCCCCACTGCCCACCAGCCTGGGCGCTGACCAGCACCTGGTCATTAGAGCTTCGTTGAAACCCCACAAATCCCATAGCCAAACAGGCAGCTGGGCCAGCCCTGTGTGCAAACAAGGTGCGCCCGCGTGGCCTGGCCACGTTGTCTGGGGGGCGCGGGTCCCCGCCCCCTGCCCTCCTGCCTCCAGTATTCCCACACGTCCTTAGGTGTGCCCTCCCTCACGTGGACGCTGCTGGCTTGGAGTCCTCTGGAGCAGAAGGGGGCAGCATCCTGCAGGGCCAGTGGCTGGGCCTTGCTTGTCTGGGGGACGGTGGGGGCCAGGGGATAGTGTGGTCGGGGACCCCACGTGGTGACTGACGGAGGAGGAAAGGCCCACCATGGGAGGGGACCGCTGGGCTGGGGGCACCCTGTGGAGGGTGGGTCACGGCCTCACGGGGCCACAGGCTCAGGCCCTGGGCTGGAGCCCCGTTCCCCCGCCCCGAGGTGGGCCCTCAGTTCCAGGCAGGGCTCCTCCTGTTCAGCAGGCCGTGGCTCTGCCCTGCCGGGCTGTGAGGGCAAGTGCTGGCCCTGGACCCGGCTTGGCCACGTGAGCTGAGTTGACTGTGGCAGCCTCGAGGGTGACAGGAGCAGTAGACCGAGAGCCAGGAACCTGGTTCGCGCCTGCCACGCGGAGCTCCCACCAGCGTGCAGAGTGTGAGTGAGGTCTCGAGTCTGGGGGTCCATGGGGGCTCGGGGGCTGAGAGGCACCGTCCTCCCAGGTACCCCCTCAGCAAGGTTGGGCCTCCGCCTCCCAGGGAGGCCCCTGCCTCTGGGGCCTGCATGACGGTGCTGGACAGGAGCTTGCCTGCTGCCCGCGGCCCTGGCCCTCCCGGAGGTCAGCCCACGGCTTCCTTTCTGGCTCATCTGCAGAGACCCCGCTTTTCCTTCCGGCACCCACGGCCACCTCATCAGTGCTGTCCCCACTCCCAGGACCAAGCAGACCCCCGCTGCCCCTACCTGCTCCTCACCTGGCCCTTGGCTGTGTGGTCACTGCCTGATGACCGTTCTCTCACATGAGCTGAGGGGCCTGGGTCCATCTCCCACTGGCATCCTCCCACCCTGGGTGGGGCCCTGACACAGCTCCGTGTCTGCTGGACGAGGGAGAGTCCCCAGACTAGGACAGCCCTGGGGGGCAGCTGGGCAGTGTCCCAAGGCCCTCCGGTTGGAGTCCCTCAAGCTGGGCAGGCCTTGGAGGTGGCTGAGGGCAGCCCTGTCTGCTCTGCGCCATGGCACCTGCTCTTGGGCCTTGGTTGGCATTGCTGAGTGAGCATGGCCCTCCTGCCTCCTGCGTGGCCACAAGTGGACTAAGAATCCCAGTCCACATGGTGCCCAGACACCCGTGGCACTCACGGGGGCATCCCTGCTCCTGGGCCAGGGCTGCCACCTGGAGGGGGATGGACAGCCGAGGACTCAGCTCCAGTTCTGGGTGTTGTCCTTAAGTGTGTCCATCAGAAGGGCCCTCTGCTGCCCTCAGCTTCCCCTGACCTCGCCCCCTCTTGGCCTGGATCAGCACGGCTCCAGAGACACTGGTCAACTGCAGCAGTCCTCCTTCCCACGGCCTGACCTCTGCGCCCAGGCCCGTTCCCATGCCCAGGGGAGATAACCTGGGCGTCTGTTTTCCCAGGGAGGAGGGTGACCGGAGAAGATATTTTCCTTTTCTGTGAATAAATGCGTCTTTTGCTGGCACTGGTGCCAAGGTACACGGCTCACGGACCCAAGAACCCTGCTGGGCTGCAGGCCCATGACTCAGGCTTCCCCAGGGAACCCGGAACCACTGGACCTGAGCTGGAGGAGACCCGGATTAGCCCCGAGGGTGCAGTGCCTTGTCATCCCTGGGCTGTCCTCCAGGTGCCCCCAAGGGAGCAGCTGCCACTGACCCACCTGCAGCAGCAGCAGTGGCACAGGGGCTGGTGCTGAGCTGCCCCGGGGCCCCTCTGCCAAGCTGCCTGGCCCGTCCTGGACAGTCTGTGGGTCAGCCGGCGGGCTCTGCCTGCAGCACCCAGTGAGGCTCTCCAAGGGCACAGTGGCACAGGTGTGTGGTCAGAGCTCAGTAAATATTTGCTGAATAAGAGACAGAACGCATGGCCTGCAGGCTTCTGTCTGCAGTAGGTCAGGGAAGGCTCCGTGACCCCACTCACATGCAGCCCCGGGGGGCAGGTCTGCCCTCCCTCTTCCTCTCTTGCTCCCCTGTCAGTTCCTCATGATGTCCCCGTCACTGTCTTGGGCGTGACACATGTCGGCCGAAGGCTGGCGGAACCATGTTTTGGATGGTCCTCTCATTGGACTCCTCCATGAAGTTCAGGATTTGGTCCCGCAGCTCAGATGTAGCCTGGGCTCTGCTTGGACGCATGGGTCAGGCTCCGTGGGTGCAGCTGGCGGCATAGCTTGAGCACTCGGAGCCACAGAGCTGAACGTGGCCCTTACGTGTGGTCACGGTGGCAAATTCTACTGCGAAGTTCACCACGTTACAAAACACAGTATGAACAGAGGGAGGTGGGAGACAACCCCATCCTGACCACGTGCAGTGCCCCACCCTGGGCGCTGGGCACACTCACCTGCTGTGGCCCTCCCACCTCCAGGGCGTCCTCATCTCCTCCGTCTGAAGCTCTGTCCCTCTGGCCTGACTCCCGCCCTCCAGCCCCGGCCCCTAGGCTCTCTGTCTCTGTGGACCTGAGGGCTGCAGGGCCCCGCGGGATTCTGCAGTGTCTGTCCTGCTGCCTGGCCCCTCTCACCAGGCGCAGTGTCCTGGGGTCCGTCCAGCTGGCAGCAGATGTCAGGACGGCCTTCCCTTTGGAGGCCCAGTAGCATCCAGCTGCCCGGCTGCACCACGTCTTGACTGTTCTTCCGGCAGCTGAGGGATACTTGGTGGTATCTGCCTTTCGGGGTGATGGTTGATGGTGTGTGGACAGGACTGTGCAAAGGCAGGTTTGTAAGGACTGAGCACATGTCAGTGACCCATGAGCTCACACCCAGGTCAGCAGGTGGCTGCCCCAAGGATGGGGCTATGTCCCCTGCTGGGTGGGGCTGGAGCTGCCTATGGGAAGGATCTGAACTGCTTTGGCACAGCCAGGCAGACCTGGCCCTGCCCACCAAGCACCCCTGGCAGTCTCCTGGCCCATGTGGCCAGGCCCAGGACAGCATGCTGGGCACCAGGACCAGTGGTCACTGCCCCAAAGGCCCTGGTCACTTCATATCTCCTGAGCAGAGCCACCTCGGGGGAAAGTCACAGCAGGGCCAGGGGTGAGTGGGGAGGGGTACTTGACATAACTGGGGTCACCAGCAACACGGAGACTGCCTGAGCTTGGCTCAAGGGGTCTTAGAGACCAACTGTGCAGAGCACCTGATGTGCTGCTCAACTCTGTCCCCCTTCCTGCTCTTCATGGGGTCCACTTGGTGGTGCTGAGGCTATCCAGCCAGACCTCCATGCCCTACCCAGCTGAGAAGCCACACGGGGCTTTGTCTGTGGACATGAGCTGCCCATCGGTCTTCAGCCCTCTGCCCCATCCCCATGACCTCTCACTCCCGTCCTGCCAGTCTCCTCCTGGAAGCCTGACCCTGTTTACAACACTGGGCTCCTGTTCTGGCCAGTAGGAGGGCTGGAGGATAGGGACAGCAATTCCACAAGCTCTGAGCTCTGGGACCATCCCACCCCTCAGCAGAGAAAGGGAGGAGGGGACACTCAGGACACAGCACAGAGCAGTGTGGCCAGCAAGGGCCAAGCAGGCCACACCCAGGCTGCCCAAGCCAACTTTTCCCAGACTTACTGCCTCTTCATACCTGTCCAGGGTCAGAGGACGCACCTCCCCAGGACAGGGCCCTGCGTCTGCTCTCTGCTCAGGGGTGATCTGGACATGGGTTCAGGGCTCAAGCTTTCTGGGTCTGCGTGGAGGAGCATTTTTCTGTCACTCTTAGCTGTCTGCCTGCTGGGGGCAGGCTGTGCCCAGGAGGGACTCGGACATGGTCTCAGCTCTAGTGGACCCTACAGCCTTTCCTGGGTCTTCAGTGCGTTGGCTACTGCATGTCTCTTGGGTCTGCTGTAACAAATGACCTCAAACTGGTGGTTGAAAAGGACAGGAATTTGTCTTCTTGGTCCAGGAGGCCTCCATCGGACTCAGGAGGTGGAAGGGTCCGTCCCCCGGCTCCCGGCAGGAACTCGTCACTCACCCAGCCTCTGGGGGCTCAATTGTCTTCTTTCTTCTGATGATTTTTGAGTCCCGAATCCCTGTCTGCCCTTCCCTTGTAAGGACACTGGTCCTAGCATTTAGCCCCCACCCGCCAGGTGATCTTTGGGATCTACACCTGCCAATATCCCCCAGAAGGCAATACCCACAGGATCAGAGGTCAGCATTTGGGCTTATCTTTTGGGGACGGCCATTCACTGTACTGTACCTCATTACAGTCCTAGGAGCCAGATGAGACTCACCGTTCAGCCACAGCTGTCCCAAGGAGGGGCAGGGTGGTTGCTCATCTAAGAGCCTTCAGGATGGGCAGGAATCCCACCTGTGCCAGGTCAACCCACAGGGCCAACAGAGGCCTCTTCAATGTCCACACATGGATAGCGGCAGGCTGGAAAGTCCTATGCATGGGCCTGTTGGGTGGGCAGGGCCTGCTCCTCATGAGCCCCGGGCGTCATCCACAGGGCCCTGTCGGTGGGCCCTAACCCTGAGCCGGGTGGCGGCCTCAGGAACTCCCAGGTGGGTGTCCTGTGGGCTCCTGAGCTGGGTGTCCTGGGGGCTCCTGAGCTGGGTGTCCTGTGGGCTCCTGAGCTGGGTGTCCTGGGGGCTCCTGAGCTGGGTGTCCTGAGGGTTCCTGAGCTGGGTGTCCTGGGGGTTCCTGAGCTGGGTGTCCTGGAGGTTCCTGAGCTGGGTGTCCTGGGGACTCCTGAGCTGGGTGTCCTGAGGGTTCCTGAGCTGGGTGTCCTGGGAGCTCCTGAGCTGGGTGTCCTGGGGACTCCTGAGCTGGGTGTCCTGGGGATTTCTGAACTGGGTGTCCTGGGGACTCCTGAGCTGGGTGTCCTGGGGACTCCTAAGCTGTGTGTCCTGGGGGTTCCTGAGCTGAGTTTCCTGGGGCTCCTGAGCTGGGTGTCCTGGGGACTCCTGAGCTGGGTTTCTTGGGGGCTCCTGAGCTGGGTGTCCTGGGGTTCCTGAGCTCGGTGTCCTGGGGGCTCCTGATCTGGTGTCCTGGGGCTTCTGAGCTGGGTGTCCTGGGGATTTTTGAACTGGGTGACCTCAGGACTCTTGAGCTAGTGTCCTGGGGATTTCTGAACTGGGTGTCCTGGCGTCTCCTGATCTGGTGTCCTGGGGGTTCCTGAGTTGGGTGACCTCGGGACTCTTGAGCTAGTGTCCTGGGGGTTCCTGAGCTGGGTTTCCTGGGGCTCCTGAGTTGGATGTACTGGGGATTTCTGAACTGGGTGTCCTGGGGACTCCTGAGCTCGGTGTCCTGGGGGTTCCTGAGCTGGGTGTCCTGGGGGCTCCTGAGTTGGGTGTCGGGTTTCCTGGGGCTCCTGACCTGGGTGTCTTGGGGGCTCTTGAGCTGGGTGTTCTGGGGGCTCCTGACCTGGGTGTCCTGGGGGCTCCTGAGCTGGGTGTCCTGGGGGTTCCTGAGCTGGGTGTCCTGGGGGCTCCTGACCCCCTGGTGTCCTGGGGGCTCCTGAGCTGGGTGTCCTGGGGGTTCCTGAGCTGGGTGTCCTGGGGGCTCCTGAGCTGGGTGTTCTGGGGGCTCCTCACCTGGGTGTCTTGGGGGCTCCTGAGCTGGGTGTTCTGGGGGCTCCTGACCTGGGTGTCCTGGGGGCTCTTGAGCTGGGTGTTCTGGGGGCTCCTGACCTGGGTGTCCTGGGGGCTCCTGAGCTGGGTGTCCTGGGGGCTCCTGACCTGGGTGTCTTGGGGGCTCCTGAAGTGGGTGTCCTGGGGGCTCCTGAGCTGGGTGTCCTGTGGGCTCCTGAGCTGGGTGTCTTGGGGGCTCCTGAGCTGAGTGTCCTGGGACTCCTGATTGGGTGTCCTTGGGGTTCCTGAGCTGGGTGTCCTGTGGGCTCCTGAGCTGGGTGTCCTGGGACTCCTGATTGGGTGTCCTTGGGGTTCCTGAGCTGTGAGCCCTGGGGGCTCCTGAGCCGGGTTTCCTGGGGGCTCCAGAGCTGGGTGTCTTGGAGAGTCCTGAGCTGGGTGTCCCGGAGATTCCTGAGCTGGGTGCCTTGGAGAGTCCTGACCTGTGTGTCCTGGGGTTCCTGAGCTGGGTGTCCTGGGGACTCCTGAGCTCGGTGTCCTGGGGCTCCTGACCTGTGTGTCCTGGGGGCTCCTGAGCTGGGTGTCCTGAGGGTTCCTGAGCTGGGTGTCCTGGGGCTCCTGACTTGTGTGTCCTGGGGGTTCCTGAGCTGTGTGTCCTGGGGGCTCCTGAGCTGTGTGTCCTGAGGGTTCCTGAGCTGTGTGTCCTGGGGTTCCTGAGCTGTGTGTCCTGTGGGCTCCTGAGCTGGGTGTCCTGGGGGTTCCTGAGCTCGGTGTCCTGTGGGCTCCTGAGCTGGGTGTCCTGGGGGCTCCTGAGCTGGGTGTCCTGGGGGCTCCTGAGCTGGGTGTCCTGGGGACTCCTGAGCTCAGTGTCCTGGGGGTTCCTGAGCTGGGTGTCCTGTGGGCTCCTGAGCTGGGTGTCCTGGGGTCTCCTGAGCTGATATCCTGGGGGTTTCTGAGCTGGGTGTTCTGGGGTCTCCTGAGCTGGGTGTCCTGGGATTCCTGAGCTTGATCCAGGCCACGTTATGCTTTGCTCCCTCATGGAAGCCCTCATGTGGATATGGGACTGTGATGGTGTGGTTTGGAGCAGACAGTGTCTTACTGAGGGCCTGTCCCAAGACAAGGTCATCGTCACATCTACCAGGAACCACCTGGGGCCATTTGGCCTCCTCTGCATAGCATTTGCTTTCTGAGAACCTCAGGGCAGACAGGTGGCACCGCTGGCTTGGTAGACAGAGAATATATACCTGAGAGTTACTGTTCACTTCCACATAAAGACAGGGACAGAAGGAGTCCCAGTGGGCAGTGTCCCCTGCTGCTGGGAGTTGGCAGGCCTTGGAGAGGGTAAGACCGATGGATGGCTTCCCAGAGCTGCTCGGGAGTGCAGGGCTGTCTCCGCCTTGCCTGCCCGTGCACCTCCTCAAGGACCCCACCTGGGAGAAGGCCGCTGGGCTTGAGACCCTCAAGCCCCTTCTGCAGCCGGCCAGCAGCCTTCCCCACTGTCCAGGGGGACACAGTCCGTGGCTGGGCACCCTGTCCAATCACCCGCTTGGCATCTAACCCCAAGGTCCTGGGAATGGAGCCCCCCGAGCTGGCTGTGCATGGGACAAATCTGCTCACCCCAGGGACAGCAGTGTTTTGGGCCAGGGTATCTGTCCTGAGTTCCACATCTCTGTCCAGGGACGTGACAGAGGCCCTGTGGCCATGAGCTGAGGTGGCCGCCCGCTTTGCCGCCCTCAGACCCTGCCTCCAAGGCCTGTGCCAGCTGAGCTTCCAACCTGGCTTACGGTCTGCCTGGACCTCGGTGCCAGGAGGCGGGCCCTTTGGTTCTGCGGTGTGCCCCACACGCCGGATCAGGTCAGCTGAGACGGACCCCCAGCTGAGACGCTGACAAAGGCAAGAAGGAAGTGGGGGCCACTCACATACCCCCGCTTGGCCCTGGGTGACCCATGACGAAGACAGAGTCCCCCGGGGCCAGTGAGCGAGGCAGACACCACCCCTGCAGCAGCAGTGGCCAAGCTGCCCAACCCCAGGCTGGCCTGTGGTGGGGCAGTGTGGTGGGGGTAGCAGGGCGGGTGGCCCTGTGTCCAGGGTGACAGGCCCTGTCTCTCACCCCAAGGACATTCCTCACTCCTGGCCTCAGCAAGTGACAACTCTGGTTTGGACCTTGGCAGAGGCTCCTGGAGTCATGGGAGGTCCCTGGGGGCCTAGCTCTGTGGTCCTCCAAGGCTCTGACCCCGCCCACCACTTGAGGGTTCAACAGGGTCATGGGGCACCCCAGCCTTGCCAACCAGAGGCCCACCAGGCTTCACTCCCACACAAAGCAGGGCGGGTAGCAGAGGGGCCTCTGGACGCAGGTCCAATGGGTCGAGAGCACCGGGGGTGAAGGACGCCGCGTGCATGTGGCCAGTATTTGAGGAAAGCACATGGCCAGCTGCCCAGGGCCTGTCCATGCTGTCCTGGACCTGGGTTGCCTGCTGCTCCAGATGTTCACACGGGAACACAAGTGAGTCGGGCAGGCAGACCTGCCCCCAGCCAGGGCCTGCTGCGTCCAGGAGCCCGCAGGAGCCAGGAGGGAGCAGGGCACTAGTGGGGAAGGGGCCTGGGGTCCCGAGAACAAGGCCTGGGCTGAGGGCCCACCCCCACCCTGTGCTTCGCCTCCCCAGTCCAGGCCCACTGTCCACCCCTGGTCATCTCCCGAGGGAGGCTTCTGACAGGGTGCCTCTGGCTGCCCGTGCCTGCTGAGCTGTGACGGGTTCTGCCGACCATGTGCCCCCTGCGTCCCTACACGTGTCCCACTGCCCAGCCACACTGGCTCTCTGAGCTCTCTGAGGTCCACCTGAGGTCTGGGTTCCTGAGGTTTCCAGGCAGGAATCAGTGTGGACTCTCGGGGTGCCACTGGAGGGACAGATGGACAGACTGAGCTGCAGAGGCACGGCAGCCCAGTGCTGAGCCATGCACCCTCCTGGGGCGGCGGTCAGCATGGGCTGCGGGGGTGCGGTGTGACCCTGGGCAAAGCTGCTCCCCTGGGAGGATGGCCAGTCCCGCAGGCTCAGTGCTCAGTGGCCTTGGTCTGGAGGGGGCTGGGGGTTGCCTCCCGGGGTCCAGGCCTCTGGCAGCCTGGGAGCACCTTCCCCTCTCGGCTCTCACCTCCCCCTGATGCAGGTACCTCGAGCTCAGGCTGGTGGGCCTGGCCCTGAGCGGACATGGGGCAGGCGGTGGGATCAGGGTGTGACAGGGACACCGAGGTCTAGTGTCATCTGCCTCAGGCCTGCCACTCAGCTCAGAGCTGGACCTTGCCATAGCTGAGAGACTAGAGAGGGGATCCATGTTGGAGACTCCCTGGCTTCCCCTCCTAGGCATGGACACTTCCCTGGCCACTAACGTGGACAGTGGCCATCTCCCAGGGCCACTGTTTTGTATCTAGACCAGGCTCCAAAATGACCCTTGCCGGTGTGGTGCAGGGAAGGGGGATCAAAACCGTTTGCCCCCTGAGTTGGGCAAGGGGCCTGTGAGGCCTGGGCCCTGGCCTTGCTGGACACCTGGGAGTGGCCCCTGACCTGTCCCTTATCTAGGCTCCTGTCGGGCGTGGCTGTGCTGGCAGCAGATAAGCAGATTAACGAGGTGTGCGCCTTCAGCTGGGGCCTGGGCTTTATCAGGCCAGGATGTTGTCTCAGGTGGAGCCGGGCGGGCGGGCGGGCCCAGGCCGGAGGGCGTTCCCCAGCCACTGAGAGGCAGCTCTGCCCAGCTCCCACCTGGCGGGGGAGGGCGGGCACCAGACCAGGGTCCTGCTGTCCAGTGCGTGTGGGGCACCCAGGGCAGGAGTGGAGGGAGCTGGGCGCTGGTGCGGCGCTAGGCCTGGGGTCCCTCCCAGGACCATCGACCTGGGCGTCCCCCACATGTGGAACAGGGATGGGGGTCCAGGGGGCCAGCAGGGGGCCTCAGGCACCAGTGTCTGCTGCTGGGCCAGGGCCCCCCAAGGCTGACAGTGTCCCCACACGTCTGTGGCCAGGTCCCAGAGGGGATCCTGCTGAGGGGGAGACTGCCCTGGAGTCCCTACCGGCTGTCAGTCAGGACAGGTGCCCGTCACAGTGACACCCAGCCAGGAAGAGTGAGCAGCTAGGAATGTAAGGAAGACAGCCACAGGGAGGTGTCCCCTCGAGTGGCGGGACAGGGGCAGGACGGCGAGGTGGCCCAGTGAGGAAGAGGCTGAAGCTGGCTGGGAGGGGTGGGGCCTGGGCGCACCTGAGAGGCCCAGGGTGCTGAGTGGGGAACTTGGGGGGTCAGGCCCAGGGGCTGGGGGCCCCTCACGTCCTGCCTCGCCCACAGCCAGCCTGGCTTCCCACCTAGGCCTGCACGGCCAGGGCGGCCCTGCCCACCCCTTCCCCAGACGTCTCTGCATCTGTGCAGCCCTCCAAGCCCCAAGATGCTCTCCCAGCCTCACGGCCACTCGTCCACGTCCTGCTCTGAGTCCCAGACCCTCCATGAGGCCCCCACCCCCAGCAGGACGTGCAGCTCCCCAGCCTGTCCTCACCCACCCAGCCCCGTGGCTCCATCCTGCCCTCAGATGCAGCCGCGGCCTCCGGGTCTGCCCCTCTGGTGGGTGGGCCCAGGGCCCGAGGCTGGCCAGGAGCCAGGGTGCAGGAGTGGGAAGGCAAATACCCTTTTGTGTGCTGCAGGCGCTCTGGGGACAAAAGCTGGGGGCTGAGGAGCCCCACAGTCTAGACAGCCAGCCCCACCCGGGGCAGGGGAGGGGGCACCAGCAACGAGGCAGAAGCTGTCTGGGCAAGGCTGCTGGCCCCTGGTCCACGGAGGCCAGGGCAGTGAGGCTGCAGGAAGGCAGCTCCATGCAGCCCTGGCTGGGGCCTGAGCCCCTCTGGACTCTCAGGCCCCAGGGAACCTGCTGAGGGGCCAGAGGAGGGCAGCTGGGGCTGTGGTCCTGGGCTGAGGCCAGGTCTTGCTGCCCATCTCTCTAAAGAAAGGCCTTCAGGCCTCCTGTCTGCGAGGGGCGGGTCAGCATCGGCAAAAGCTCTGGCCAAAGTTCTCCCTCAACCTCTCCCTCCCCCCTTCTCCCTCCCCCTCCCTCTCCCTCCCTCCCTCCCTCCCTCCCTCCCCCTCCCTCTCCCTCCCTCCCTCCCTCCCTCCTCCAACCTCTCCCTCCCTCCTTCTCCCTCCCCCTCCCTCCCTCCCTCCCTCCCTCCCCCTCCCTCTCCCTCCCCCCTTCTCTGCTGTCCTTGATCCCCTCCTCTCTTCCTTCCTACCTCCTCCCCAGACACCTCTTTGAGGCGAGGCAGACAGGAGCCTGCCTCCTGAGGTTCTAGAGACCCCACCCCAAAGCCCCAGTCCTGTGCTGCCAGCCTCAGAACCCCCCAGTAGGGCCATGAGAGTGGGGGGCCAGGGTCTGGGGCAGAGTCAGGAGGTGGGAGGGGTGACACCGTCCCGCGGTCTGGCTGCTGGTCACTAGCCATTTGTTCCCTCCATGGCATGCGGTGCCACCCAAGGTTGGCAGTCCCACTGTACCCCAGGGAGGCACAGTGCCCCCCCCCAGACTCCTGGGCCTCCCTTCACTCCTGTGGCCTCTGTTGTTGTCCACGCTGGCCCTGCACGAGGAGTGCCCCTTGCCTCCCCAGCCCAGGTGCAATGCCGGGTGGACACTTAGCACCCTCGGGTCCGCCCTCCCTGCGGTGCTCTTACTCTTGACTGCTGGCCATGCACCTGTGAAGTGCCCGGCCCCTGGCCCTGTTGCCCACGATCTCACCGCAGGTTGCCACCCTAGGCGCAGCCTGGTCCTGGAACTGCTCTCAGAGGCCCTGCTCCAGTGGGTGGGGAAGCCCCGGCCAGCTCACAGCTCATGCCCCGGAGCCTGGGGTGAGCCTTGCTCCTTTAAGTCATGGACTTTTATGTCAAGGACAGATTTCCCAACCAACTGGTGACCCAGGGACCCAGGGGACCCACATCGTGAGCGCTCCAGGGAGGCCACAGCCTTGTGCCTGGCAAGCAGACTCCCAGCTGTCGGGGCCCGTGGAGAGTCCCAGAAAGCCCATGGAAAGGGGGCACGGCACCCGACAGAGCAAGGCCCCAGGGCATCGGAGCTCCTGAGGACCAGGAGGGAACTCCGGGAGGGAAGGCCCCGAGGGGCTCCCTGTGCGGCTAGGAACAGCCCCACCTGACAAACACGCCTGCCACTCAGCCGCAATCAGAGGGGGCAGCATTGGGGGGGGCTCAACCCTTGATGACGCCAGTGGACGGGGGTGAGGTCCGTGTTGGCTGCTTTCCTCGGAGCCTCCCTGTCTGCAGGCACCCAGAGAGAGCTCAGGCCAGCATCAGCAGCTCGCTGGGCAGAGCAGACTGAGGTCAGCTCCATGCCACCAGACAGACTGGACGTCCGGAGAGACTGCAGACAGGATGGCTGCTTGAGTGGCCGCTGACCACACACAGGGAGACACTACACAGCTGGAGCACAGCAGGCAGGGGCCTGGGCAGAGTGTGCAGCTCATGGTGGCTGTGGGGGCCGCTGGATCAACCTGGGCTTACCCTGAACTCAGAAAGGTGACAGCTCAGGAAGAGCACCGTAGCCAGGGACAGACTGCTACATCGAAGGATAAGGGCAACACCAAGAGAGACCAGACAGCAAGGACTGCTCCCGGGACCAGGTGGACCCACCAAGAATGGAACCAGCTGCTGGAACAGAACTTGTGCTCGCGAGGAGGGTGCCAGGTCTCAGGGCTCTGCAGCACATCATACCCAAGTCCAGTGCACAATGAAGACGTCCAGACAGCGTGATGGAACCAAGAACAGAGCAATCATGGACCTGCCCCACGGAGAGCCCAGGCTGGCATTGGTAGGTAAGTAAAGCAGCCGTTATAAACACACCGGATCACTCACAAGGGAAAGCAGAGAGGAGACGGGAGCTTGGGGACAGATGCGGAAACTCTAGAAAAGGAACCCAGTGGAAATCCTGAACAGAAAACCCACCAAATCTAGAAACCCAATATCTGAAATATAATAGTCCTCGAATGGACTTGACAGAGAATTAGAGCTTCAGAGGAAAGGACTCAAGAGGGTGGGAAAAGATGTAAGAGAAAAAGATTTGACTAGAGCCACCAACCCTGAGAAACAGACTCAAAGTGCAGTAAATACAAAGAAACTAACTGTACCTACACACGGGATAGATAGATCGCTGCAAAAACAAAAGGCCAAAGAAGACCTTTCGAGCAGCCAGGAACCACCCAGGACACAAAGAAAACAACTCTAACAGGTAGATATGAATCCAATCAATCACATAAAATTACACTAAACGTAAGTGAACTAAATATTCTATTAAAAGGCAGAGATTTTTCAGGTTGGATCAAAAAGCAAGACCCAATGTTATGCGATACATGTAGTTTGCCAAAGATCTTCGAATAGTCACTTTAAATGTATTGATTTTATTATACTAAATTAGACTTCAATAAAGTTTATTTTAAAAGAAAACAATTGGTTCCCTGAAAGGAGAGCAGACAAAGAGGAACACAGGAGCAAAAAGCAGGGTGACCAAGTGCAGACCCAGACAGGACACAAGCCCGCCAGGAGGTGCTGCCCAGCCGCCTGGCCGGGGCTCCTGAGAACCCCCGTCACCCATCCAGGTGCACACAGACACACAGGACCCTCTCGTGGGGGCTGGGTTAGTGGGATCACAGCCCAGCAGTGAGGGTTCAGCCACACAGAAGGGGAGCTCAGGGGTGGCCATAGGGACAGGCAGGGAGTGGCAGGCCCCCAAGGCTGTAAAAGCCCAGGGCCAGCAAGTGTTTCCTGAGGCTATCCTGCAAGTCCAGGGCCTGGAGGACGCATGTGAGCAGTGGTGACACGGCTACCAACTCAGCGAGAAGACGAGGGGTGGTACCTGGGAGCACAGCTGGGGGCCTGAGGCGACCTCACGGAGTGCAGGGAGCACACTGTCTTGGGGCGACCCAGAGGCCCGGTCCTTCCCACCCTGTTGGGAGTGGTCCAGAGTGAGCATTCGGAACACACCTGGAAGGTGGGTGGGACCCAGGGGCGGGAAGCGGTGCCCGCTCCACACAGAGCTTTCAGACCAGAGGTGGGGGTGGGCGCTCAGGCCAGGGCGGCCATCACAGGGAAGAGGCCCTGGCCGGGAGGAAGGCGGGCCCACCTGGAAGCCGCGGGGAGGGCGGGGAGGGGCAGACCAGGTGAGGGAAGGAGCAGCCAGGGAAGGTGTCCAGGAGGAGCGTGGGTCTGCCCTCTCTGCCTTCCTTCCACCTGCAGCGAAAACCCCAACCTGCGCGGGCGGGCCGGAGGGCAGGGAGTGGGCAGCTCCGCCTGGGGACAGCTCCCGGGGCCTGGTTCGTCTCTGCCCCTGGAATGCGCTGATGGTGAGGGAGTGAGGAGGAGCAGGGACCTGTGTCAGGAAAGGGCACCCGGCCAAACTCGGGGACTCTGGGGGCACCGCAGAGGGCCAGAGGCCCTAGAGGTCCACCCAAACCGGGGGCCTCCTGCTTCTGTGTGCCTGGAAGGCTCTCCAGGGGCTGTGCTGGAGCTGGCTCTCCCCTGCGTCCCCACCCCACTCAGGGCCCCGCAGGCCCAGTGGAAGGTCAGGACTTTAGCACCACTTGGTGGGACTGGTGGGGGCTGTGAGCCGTTCCCTCCCCGCAGCCCGGC